AAAACACTATATATTAGAAAAAGAGAGGGATCAGCGTTTTCAAAGTTTAAATCGCAAAGTAACCTACATTTTTCCTCTCTTCCACATTTTTCGAAATTTTCGGATTAAGGTTCTTTGGAATTCTTACATTTGAGGTGTGTGGTATCTTCGGCATTATTACAAATAGCAATTCAAAGTTTATTTTGTTTGAATATATTCCATATATAGCTAAATCTTTCCTAAATGCCAAGATTTCATAAATATTAAAAACACATTTTAGATTTGAGTTTTTGCAAGAGACAAAAAATACAAAAAGACCAAATAATGGCTTGGCTTAAGAACTAAAGCTAATTGATCGACAAACGAGTGCTATCAAATCCACTTGAATTTTTCGACAATCCATATTGGATATTATTATAATAATAAGAAAATTGGCAAAGAAATTAGATTTTAAAACCAGTAAAAAAAAGTCCCAAAGTCGGGCGGGGCCGACTTTATGATACCCTACCCCACTTTGCTAATTTAGTAGAGCCCACATAACAATCAAAAGTTTTTATGTTTAAGTTAAGTTTATTTTTATTTTCAATAAATAAATATTTCTTTGAGCTTTATTTATTGAAATTACATTGGAAAAGGTCGATTAAAAAAACAAACTTGAGTTTATTTTTATAATTTAAAGTTCAAAGGTCTAAATATGCCGAAGCATTTGTATCTTTTGAATTCGAACTTGCATTGCCCATTTGGTGCAAAATTAATTTGAAATCAGATAAAGATATATATGGGAGCTATATCCAAATTGGAACCGATCTTGATAAAATTTAGCAAAGATATTTCTGAGCTGTATTTGATGTATTTCCCTGAATATCGTTGTTACGGAGTGCATATTACGGCTGTGGGTAACAAATCGGATGAACAGTATATATGGGAGCTATAGCTATATCTGAACCGATCTTCACCAAATTTGGCATACTTTCTTCTAGACTCAATTCGGTCGGATGTGCCAAATTCCATACCATTTGGACAAATATTAGAATTTTGGTGTACAATAAAAGGTAAATCGGACGAAGTTATATATGAGAGCTATATCCAAATCTGAACCGATCTCGACAAAATTTGGCAAAGGTGTTTCTGAGCTGCACTTGATATATTTCCCCAAATATTGTTGCTACAGAGTGCATATTACGGCTGCGGAGGATAAAAATAACAAATCGGATGAGCATTATATATGGGAGCTATAGCTATATCTGAACCGATTTCGATCAAATTGGGCATACTTATTTCCAGGCCTAATTTGGTTGTATGTGCAAAATTCCACACTATTCAGGCGATATTACACGTTTGGTGCACAATAAAAGGCAAATCGAACGAAGATATATATGGGAGCTATATCTAATTTTTTACTAGGGTTCGTCCTTGTTCCAAACAAATGTTGTTTGGAAAATTTCATCTCAATCGGATAATAAATGCGACCTGCATTTTGTTCACAAGAATACATGGACAGACGGACGGACGGTCAGACGGACTGACATGCATAAATCAACTCAGAAAGTGATTCTATGGAGATCCTCAAAAGTAAAAGTGAAATTTGATCTAAAATAATTTTCCATTAGCACTCCCCCCCAAATAAAAACAAAATAATTATAATGAGATATTGATGCCACTTTGGTGACTGATAATGAAATTTGCTCTTGACGTCATCCGTCTTAAATTAGGCTTAGTTGGAGATTTATGCATAAACTCATAAAAAAATAAGACTTGTCTTTTTGATGGAATAGATTCCTGCCGTTTATAGTAAAATTTATGACAAAATAATTTGTAGAGTACTTTGAATATGATCACGTTAAGGAAGGTCCCTTTATTTACTCGCATGAGGCCGAACTTTTCGATCAAAATATTTCTCGTATTTTGGTCTGCAATATGGCCAAAAATGCACGAATTCCAAGGAATCTTAATCCTGAAAATTTCAAAAAAGGCGGAAGAGGGGAGAACTTTTTCATTCTTTTTCACATTTTTATACCCTCAGACATTCGATACGGCTAAAACCTGCCTCATTGAAATAACGGACCAAATCCTTTTCTGGACATTTGGAGTCGACCAGCAATGTCCGTCCGTCTGGCTGACTGGTGCGCACGATAACTCTCGAAGGAAGTATCCGATTTGGTCCAAACTTCGTACATCGTAATATTTTTGTCAAACTTAAATCGAGTTCGGAGATGGGCAATATCGGTCCACTCCTTCTGGTAACTCCCCCATCAAAGGTCGAAATTTTCAACAAAAAAAAAAAAAATATTTTTTGCACAGAAAGTGAAAAAATAATCCGATTTTGCTCTAACTTTGCAAATCCTAATATTTGCGTTAGGTCTGGTGCGAAAACGGACAATATGGTTCCACTCCTTCAGGTGCCTCCCCCACAAAAGGTCGAAATTAAAAAAAATACGTTTTTTTTTTGCTCAGAATGAGAAACGATTATCTGATTTTGCTCCAGCTTTGCAAATCCTAATATTTACGTCAGTGCTAGGCCTGGTACGAAAATGAATAATATCGGTACACTCCTTCTGGTACCTCCCACACAAATGGTCAACATTTTAAATAATTACAACTCTCATAAAATGTGATGTAACATTTATATTTATATATACTATATTTATATATACCCAAGGTCTGGTGTTAATATGGAATATATCGGTCCACTCCTTCTGGTACCTCCCTCACATATGGTCGAAATTTTTAAAAAATACACATTTTTTCACAGAAAGAAAAACGATACTCCGATTTTACTCCTACTTTGCACATCCTGATATTTGCGTTAGTGCTAGATCTGGTGCGAAAATGTACAATATCAGTCCGCTCCTTCTGGTACCTCCCTCACAAACGCTCACAATTTTGAATATCCATGAAGTTCATAAAAAGCGAAATCAACATCCTATTCCATTCCAGACATGGCACATCTAAAATATTTCCATCAACACGAGATCTGTTATAAAGATGGTAGATATCGGACCATTTGTTTTGCTTCCTGCTCCACATAGAATTCAAAATTTTGAAAAACAAAACGCTCAAAGAAGGCGAAATAAGAATCCAACTCTCTGCAAATTACACACATACAAACATTTTTGCTAACACAAGATCTGTTGTGAAGATGCTATATATCTGCGAACCCCTTCCTGGTACCTCACCCACAAAGAGACACAATTTTCAATATTTTTTTTTATAAATTGCGAAACAACTCAGCGATTCTTTACAACTTGCTATATCTAAATATATGTCTCTCAACCAGAATCCTAAGATGAATATGGAATTTAAGATATAAATGTTCGATTTTCTTATATATTCATAATGATATTTATATCATATTTATTTAGGTCCGATATGAAATGGACAATATTGACCCATTATTTCAAAACCCACTCCATAGAGGGTCAAGAGGGTCAAATTCATAACAGAAGTCTAAATATTTTTAAATAATCGAACATTGGCTGAGGGTATACATCTGTCGGCAAAACCGACCAATACTTTTTTCCTTGTTTTTTTTTTTTTAATTTTTCCTCCCAGTAAGCAATGTTTGAAAACTATGGGTAAAGAATACTTTTCGATTTTGAAGGGAAGGGTTTCTGATGAAAATACGCAATATTGTTGTGTGTTAATTCATATTAATTCAATTGGATGAGTATACAACGTTATATTTGTATACAACGTCACAATATCTAATAGATCAGATGGTGTTATCACTATTCCTATGTAATATGTAATAATCGTATAAAGGTACTGAATCAAATATTCCTGTTCTTATACTATGTATGTCGAAATAATTTGAATTTTTAAGGTTATAGCAAATGATATCTCAGACCACTAAAAACTGAAGTTTATATATCCGTGAGTTTTCGTTTTGTAATTTATTTTCTTTTTATTTATTTTTTTACTTGATTAACATACATATATAAACTAAAATAAGAGAATTTACATTTACATTTATTAATCGACAATACAGTTATAAATACAAATTCGTAATTTTAATATAGTTAAGTTAGTAGAACAAATAATGTTGTCATTAAAAATACATTAAACAGTGGTTTTGTCTGGCTATGGGTAAAAATTTACGGTTCGCGTGTGGGTGTTTTTTTGAAAATGTTAACATTTGATAATTAAAAGTTACAATGTTACAGGCTAATTAGATTACAAATATTGCATTTTGTTTTTAAGTGAATTAGAGGAATAAAAGCAAAAAATAACAATAATCGGAAAAAAACACTAAATGGTAAAATAAATGGAGTGCGCTTAGCTTTTTTCAATTTGATAAAATGCTGTGGCCCAAATACTTGAAATTGAGAAAAAATTAATTTTGGAATTTATGCACAAGCCATTAATTTTCATTACAACGGACTTTTCTTTGAAAAATGTTTAAAAAGGAAAATTACACATCATTTGGCCCATCAAAGAAAGGGGGGAAATATTTAAATTGCTTTTGACTTAAAAAATAATTACAAAGTGTCCTATAATTATTTTATAATTTTTTTGCTGTTGTTATTTTTTTTTATTGGTGTATGGGTGTGGAAGTGAATCATGCAAAGAAATATTTTGAATATTAGTTTTTGTTTTACATAATTGTATGGACATAGTGTCTTTTGGCTATGTGGGGTGGGGGGAGGGTTGTTAAGTATTAAGTCTAGGTGTAGTGGCATGTGTGTTGTAATACCAGGGATGGATAGTTGAAATTGTAGCTTGTGACCTCAGCCATTTCAACTCCCTATCCTTTTGTTGGCATAGTTTTAAGCAAAATAAACATTTAAATATAAATCAAAATTAAATACTAACAAATAATATTTTTTTAAAAAAATATTTTTTTTATAGAAAAAAAAATGTCTCTTTAAGCTTATACATATGTGTCTATGTATATATATATATATATATATATATATATATATATATATATATGTATGGTATAGTTATTCACAACAATATCATTACATTGTTTCACATAGTTTTTCCGATTTTTCTCTGATTCTTTTTCCGCTTCCATTTGTTGTTTCTGCTGTTGTTGTTGTTGTGGTTTGCGCTTTATTGGATTTCTGTTTCCTAGATTTCCTAGATTTGTCGGTTCTATTGGTTGCCGGTCGTCGGCGTCTTTTCTCTATGAATAGAAGGTCAATACACTGGTCTGGTTGCCACGCACAAACAGGAACGGTGGCATGTCACGACTTAAACTTTCCAACCAGGCCATATACAATGGAGCCGTCACAATATTCTTCCTTGGCATGGGCAATGTCATTACAACCAAATCGGATTTCGTTGATTGCTCTCGTAAATATTCACGTAAACGTAAATAGCGATTTGTTTTGTCCTGCACGGCCATCATGTCGTCCTCGGTAATGGCAACTACAATGACAATAAACAACAAAAACCATAAATGAATAAAGCCAATGTCAAAGAGCTTACAATAATAAAAAGGAAAAATTAAGCGGAACCCAAAATTTATGGAGAAATAAATTTAATCGCGTTATTTCATTACATCAACTGAATGACAGGAAACCATGTTACGCAGCTAGGTCGAATAACAGATTTCCTTAGGAAATTTCCTTTGAAATTCGTCAGGAGATTTCCTATGGAAATTCTCTCCTATTCAGCTTGGCAAAATAACAGCTTTCCTATGGAAATCTCCCTTCCATCCCTGCCCGGCTGAATAGAGCAGCTTGGCTGGCTGAATAGCAGATTTCTATAGGATAGCTGCTCTATTCAGCCGGGCTGAATATAGCAGCTTTTCTAAGGAAATCTCCTATTCAGCCCGGCCTGAATAGAGCAGCTATCCTATGGAAATCTGCTATTCAGCCCGGCCTGAATAGAGCAGCTATCCTATAGAAATCTGCTATTCAGCCCGGCTGAATAGAGCAGCTATCCTATGGAAATCTGCTATTCAGCCCGGCTGAATATGGCAGCTTTACTATGGAAATCTGCTATTCAGCCCGGCTGAATATGGCAGCTTTCCTATGGAAATCTGCTATTCAGCCCGGCTGAATAGAGCAGCTATCCTATGGAAATCTGCTATTCAGCCCGGCTGAATAGAGCAGCTATCCTATGGAAATCTGCTATTCAGCCCGGCTGAATAGAGCAGCTATCCTATGGAAATCTGCTATTCAGCCCGGCTGAATAGAGCAGCTATCCTATGGAAATCTGCTATTCAGCCCGGCTGAATAGAGCAGCTATCCTATGGAAATCTGCTATTCAGCCCGGCTGAATAGAGCAGCTATCCTATGGAAATCTGCTATTCAGCCCGGCTGAATAGAGCAGCTATCCTATGGAAATCTGCTATTCAGCCCGGCTGAATGGAGCAGCTATCCTATGGAAATCTGCTATTCAGCCCGGCTGAATGGAGCAGCTATCCTATGGAAATCTGCTATTCAGCCCGGCTGAATGGAGCAGCTATCCTATGGAAATCTGCTATTCAGCCCGGCTGAATGGAGCAGCTATCCTATGGAAATCTGCTATTCAGCCCGGCTGAATATAGCAGCTTTCCTATGGAAATCTCCTATTCAGCCCGGCTGAATATAGCAGCCTTCCTGTGGAAATCTGCTATTCAGCCCGGCCTGAATAGAGCAGCTATCCTATGGAAATCTGCTATTCAGCCCGGCTGAATATAGCAGCTTCCCTATGGAAATCTGCTATTCAGCCCGGCTGAATATGGCAGCTTCCCTATGGAAATCTGCTACTTAGCCCGGCTGAATATGGCGGCTTCCCTATGGAAATCTGCTACTTAGCCCGGCTGAATATGGCAGCTTCCCTATGGAAATCTGCTACTTAGCCCGGCTGAATATGGCAGCTTTCCTATGGAAATCTCCTATTCAGCCCGGCTGAATATGGTAGCTTTCCTATGGAAATCTCCTATTCAGCCCGTCTGAATATGGCAGCTATCCTATGGAAATCTGCTATTCAGCCCGGCTGAATAGAGCAGCTATCCTATGGAAATCTGCTATTCAGCCCGGCTGAATAGAGCAGCTATCCTATGGAAATCTGCTATTCAGCCCGGCTGAATAGAGCAGCTATCCTATGGAAATCTGCTATTCAGCCCGGCTGAATAGAGCAGCTATCCTATGGAAATCTGCTATTCAGCCCGGCTGAATAGAGCAGCTATCCTATGGAAATCTGCTATTCAGCCCGGCTGAATAGAGCAGCTATCCTATGGAAATCTGCTATTCAGCCCGGCTGAATAGAGCAGCTATCCTATGGAAATCTGCTATTCAGCCCGGCTGAATAGAGCAGCTTTCCTATGGAAATCTGCTATTCAGCCCGGCTGAATAGAGCAGCTTTCCTATGGAAATCTGCTATTCAGCCCGGCTGAATAGAGCAGCTTTCCTATGGAAATCTCCTGTTCCGAATCTGGTATTTTGCCCCAGCTGATTAGCGTATTTCCTATGGAAATCTCTATTCAACCAGACTGAAAGGAATTTTTCCCATACCACTCTTCATTCACGAGGTTTTTCATTCAAGTTTCCCTTTCCACCCTTGAAGTGGAGAAATCTAACGATATTCCGTTAATTTTATTTTCTGGAATATTTATTTATTTTTATTCGTCGGACAGCACCAATGAGTGTTTGTGCCTCTGTGTGTGTGTTCGCTTTGTACTTACCCTCATCCTCCTGCAGCTGTACATTTGTATCCTTTTCAGCCACAACAAAGTCCTTAATTAAATCGTTAAAGAACTGCGTCGATGATTCCTGTGGTTTCTTGGTTATGTCGGGAATCAATTGCAAATCTGAATAATCGATACGGAATTTCGACAATAAACTAGCCATCGAACGTTGTTCAAATTCCAGTTCGGCTTTTTTGTTGGCCAAAGCATAAACTCTGCAAAAGAGAAAAAACGAAAAAAATTAAAAATTAAAAAAGGGGATAAAATTAGAAAAACACAAAAGGGAAATCCCAAAATCAAATTTTCATGGGAATTACAAAATGAAATGTTGAAGCCTTAAAGCGGTGAATGCTGGGTTTTTGGCTGGAATTCAATAGATTTGTCTGTGTAAAGAAGGATTGTTAAAAGGCTGTTTGTAAACTGATTGTTCTGCGGTCATATGGTTTTTTTAAGGATCTTTGTCGGTAAAAGACCTGCAAAAAAGTCTTCTCTTTACAGGAGGCCTCTAAAGGTATGCCATATTTAAATAACTTTAAATATTATTCAATCGAGAAGATAATGATACGTTAAGGCTAGTTTACACATGATGTCAGTGTCATATGTAAGCTCCCGTTTTCAAATTCTGTGTTCAAATTTTAAAGCATACGTTTAGGCGTTTTTTAAATTGCAAGTTAATTTATGCTATACAGGTACTATACACATTTATTTAATGCATTATTATAACCTCCACCATTCTATGGAGAGTATATTAGCTTTATCATTCCGTTTGTAACTCCTTGAATTATGCGTTTGCAAAAATGTTTGGATGTTTAAAATTTGATCATCAAACTCTCTGATGAATTTTGAACCCTTTGTGGGGGAAGTACCAGCAGATATTGTGTTTGTAAAGATAATGGCATGTGTGAAATTTGAAGGGACCGGATCCTTTTTCGGATTTTATAATCATTTTGGTTATTCAAAACTTTGGCCCCTTGCGGGAGAGGTACCAGAAGGAATGGTCCGATCTTTACCATCTTTAAAACAGTTATAGTATTGATATCGTATGGGATCAGATGTTAATTTCGCGTTTTATGAGCTTCATGGATATTCAAAATTTTGACCCTTTGTGGGCGGAGTTACCAGAAGGAGTGGACCGATATATTACATCTTCACAGCGGATCTTGTGTTAGTGGAAATAATGGGATGTGTGAAATATGAAGAGAACCGGATGCTTATTTCGGATTTTATAAACATTTTGGTTATTCAAAACTTTGACCCTTTGTGGGGGAGGTACCAGAAGGAATGGTCCGATCTTTACCATCTTTAAAACAGTTATAGTCTTGATAGAAATATGGAAATGTACCAAGTCTGAGTGGAATCGGATGTTAATTTCGCGTCTTTTGAGCCTCATAGATCTTTCAAATTTTGACCCTTTGAGGGGTAGCTACTAAAAGGAGTGGACCGATATATTCCATCTTCACACCAGACCTTGGTTTAATAACGAAATTGAGATATGGGTAATTTAAAGACAATCGGACTCTTACATCACATTTTATGAGAGTTATAATTATTCCCAATTTTGACACTTTGTGGGGGAGCTACTTGATGGAGTGGACCGATATTGTCCATTTTCACACCTGACCTAGAACTAATGCAAATATTAGGATTTGTAAAGTTGGAGCTAAATCGGATTATTCTTTCTCTCTCTGTGCAATAAAATATTTTCTTTGAAAATTTCAACCTTTTGTGGGGGAGGTACCAGAAGGAGTGGACCGATATTGCCCATCTCCGAACTCGATCTAAGTTTGATAATAATATTACGATATACCAAGTTTGGACCAAATCGGATACCCCTATCGAGGGTTATCGTGCGCATCAGACAGACAGACGGACATCGCTAGATCTACTCCAAATGTCCTGAAACGGATTTGGTCCAAAGAGAATTAGGGTCTAAGCCCGTTTTGTTCCCGAGGCACGTTTTGGCCGTATTAAATGATATATACCCTCTCTAGCTATATGGCTGAGAGTATAAGCGCCTATAAGTATGCTCCAAAAATCTCAAATCAAAGATAATTCTTAATTTCAAGGATAAGTCTCAATCTCAAGGACAAGTATTCTCAAAGCCAAAATGTGTTCTCTAAAGCAATGTAATTTAATAACAGAGACAACAAACAGCATGCCAATATCTTCGTCGAATTTGAAGGACCTCTATTCTTGCTAAGATATTCTATCCCACTGCAAATTTAAACCGCTTTAAAGCCCTACACCCAAATGCCCAATATAAACTAAACCTAACTTAAGATTATCAGATTTAAAAGACCCGTATTAAGTCTTTTATCCACAGGAGATATATTAAATATCCCTTATCTTAAAATCTCTTTTCTTACCTCAATTTACACGATTGCCATGTGCGACGTGTACTTATGATATAGGGCAGCAGCAGGGTGAGGCCACCATCATCGTATAGCCACCAGACATCAATCACAGCATGGCTACGTTTTCTGGTGAATTGGGATAATTCATTCAATACCTCTTTGGGAAGCTCAACACCACCAGGACCCTTGTAGAGAGCAGCGGGGTCATCATGTTTTGTTTTCGATTTACGCAACGAATTTGTCTGGAAAATAAAAGAAATTCGATAAATTGTCTTGACACCTTCCTTCTACGCTTCATTGAAATGTTAATGACTTACCAACAGAGGAGCTGTTTTGGGATCAGCAGGGTCCGGTAGGCCAGAGACTTCTTTGCTTTGGGTGCCAGCAACAAATGACAAATCACTGGTACTGGAAGCTGTATGGAGAAGGGGGAGCAAAAAACAAAAAGAAGGGGAAACACTTTTTTTTAGTAAATAATTTAATTAGAAACATTGTTCATGACACACACACACTTATATACAAACAAAAGAGAGACAAATGTCATGCATCATTAATATGTGCTTAAATTATTGTATTTTTTTCATTATTGCTCTCAAATTGAGAGGAGACAATTTTGATGCTTCTCCCCAAGGCCAAGGTCATGCATCGGGCAACTTTTCCAATAATCATAATATCACTAATACCAATGCAATTAAAAGTCTCACGTAGTCAAGGGTCAAACACCAGTTTAACCTCACATTGTCTGCTGCTTATCATCTCGATTAAGCGATAAATTTGCTGATAATAATTTATTATCGTCCCGGGGACATTCAACTGGTCGTGGTCGACACTAAGCCAACCGAACTTGACTAAAGGCCAAAGTTTGCAAAGGGAAAACTTTAAAACTGTAGATTCATCTTTCTTTTCTTCTAAAGTCTTAAAACACAACAAGTGACCACCTACAGAGAGAGCGAGAGCGGGAGTGAGAGAGAGAGGCAGATTACGTGGGAGATAAAGATTTGGCCGCAAAAAACGACCAAACGACTCTCAGCAAAAGTTACCATTCATGGGTCATTGAAAGTTATTATGCCGATACTGATGAAGTAGTTGTTGAAGTTTCACCCCAGCTCGCTCTGTGGTCAACGAACACACACTTTAAGGTAAAGCCAGGACATTCAACTTAAACAACAAAATTGCCTCTCATCTGTATCCTAGGCACATTAATTTTGCACAACACTTTAAAATTCCAACAGCAACAACAACAAATTGTCGTTTGTTGTTGTGAATGCAAATATTGGTTTAGCATGTCGGTTCAGAGAAAACTTAATTGGGTAAATTTTCGAAAATATTGTTTTTGTATTTTGTGTTTTATTAACATGGAATGTAGGAACGGAACACGTGTCCTGTAAAATCGTTGTCAGCCTGAATGTATTTACCGAAATATGGAGGCGAGCCAGCGGGGGAAAAAGGTCAATAGTGAACCAAGGCAAATGTTTTAGTTACACACGAGACATGGTTTCTTTGGAAACGTGGATGTTAAGAAAAAAAAGCTTATTTCATTTTTAAATTTAAATTCATAAATATCAAAACCAGCAGGGAAAGGGCATAAGAGGGTCGGGATCGACTAATTTCGTCATTATACCCCCAGCCATATGGCTATAGAGGATATATATCATTTGATACGGCCAAAACGTGTCTCATTAAAATAACGGTTTTCGATCCTAGATCTCTTTGGACCAAATCCGTTTCAGGATATTTGGAGTCGATCTAGCGATGTCCGTCCGTCTGTCCGGCTGGCTGGTGCACACGATAACTGTCGAAGGGAGTATCCGATTTGGTCCAGACTTTGTACATCCTAATATTTTTGTCAAACTTAGATCGAGTTCGGAGATGGGCAATATCGGCCCACTCCGCTTAGAACCACCACCACAAAAGGTCGAAATTTTTAAAGAAATATATTTTCTGCACAAGAAGAGAAAGGATAATCCAATTTTGCTCCAACTTTGCACATCCCATTATTTGCGTCAGTTCTAGGTCAGGTGCGAAAATGAAAAATATCGGTCCACTCGATCAAGTACCTCCCCCACAAATAGACAAAATTTTGAATAATTACAACTCTCATAAAATATGATGTAAGAGTCCAATTGTCTTCAACTTTCACACATTCTAATATTTATATTAACCCATGGTCTGGTGTAAAGGGGGAATACATAAGTCCACTCCTTCTGGTACCTCTCCCACAAAAGGTCGAAATTTTCAAAAAATATATTTTCTGCACAGAAAGATAAAGTATGATCTGATTTTGCCCCAACTTTCCAAATCCTAATATTTACAACAGTGCAAGGTCTGGTGCGAAAATGGACAATATCGGTTCACTCCATCAAGTACCTCCCTCACAAAGGGTCAAAATTTTGATTAAATACAACTCTCATAAAATGTGAAGAAAGAGTCCGATTGTCTTCAAATTTCACACAATTGAATTGAAATTGGATTAAGGCAAAAAATGTCGAAAATAGCATCAAATTTTAGAATAAGTTTAGATTTGTTCGAATTGGTCACCTTTGGTACGAATTGTGGCCTTCAAACGGCCATACTGCCCGAATGTTGCTCTGCGGTATTTTGCTTTCCAAAAATCTCCAGACACAATAGTCCAACGGATTGGTATCCGTAGATTTTGGTGGTCATTGTGTGTGTGCTGAGTGCGATGGAGCCTGTTGGAATGTCAAAGGTCTACGGCCAAAATGTTTGCGTGCCCAAGGCAATAATACACCCTCCAAAATATTTTCGCGATAATATTCGGTCGATTGATACGAGCGGAGAGCGAGCATCGGCTGTTATGGCGGCCCACACCATCACCATGGCCGGCGCTTGAGTTCTGGTGGCCAACCGAAGGTGCACATTTTCAGCTCACTTCTTTGGCAAGTAAACACGATGTTTTCTCATCGGAGAAACCCAAATTCGGCAGTTTACCACTTTCGGCCAAGCGAAGCAATTCTTTAGCTCTTTTGAGTTTATTTTCTTTCCGTTGCGGTGTAAGTTCTTGCACTTTTTGAAATCTCAATGGCTCTACCCCGAGCTCATTTATTAATATTTGCCGAATGGGATATTGCGATATGTTCAGCTTACGAGCCATTTTTCGGCCACTGCGACGCGGGTTTCGATCAAGTCGCTTTTTTACTTTTCGAACCATTTCTGCTGATGTTGCTGGTTTCTTCCGTCCACTTCCTTGACGTTGGGCTACGCTACCAGTATCACGTAGTCGGTAACGAGCGATCGTACGAGACACAAAATATTTATTCACATTTAAATTCTGGAGTGCTATAAATATAGCTACTTGTGGCTCTTCTCCAGCCAAATATAAAGAAATCACACTATCACGCTTGAATTCCATCACGGATAATTTTTTTCTGGAAATTTCTCACCAGATTGCTTTTGTACGCTTGTAAACAATATAATGAGCTGTCACTGGAATAATTTTAATAGCTGTCGGACGAGTGACTTAGAAATGACAGCAGTCTGAAATTAGTTGCAGTTTTTCATCTCACCCATCGAAATAACGATTTTAGACCCTAGGTCTCTTTGGACAAAATCCGTTTCAGGGCATTTGGAGTTGTTCAAGAAAGGAAGAAGAGTCCGATTGCCTTCAAATTTCTTATATCCCAACATTTCTAACAACCCTGGGTCTTATATGAAAATGCGATAGGTCGGACCACTCCTTCTGGTTTCTTCCCCACAAGCGGTCAAAATTTTCCTACCCCACAAAATTTAAACATTTTCAAAGAAAATAATTTATTGCACAGAAAGAGAATGGATAATTCGATTTTGCTCCAACTTTGCAAATCCTGTTATTTGCATCAGTGCTAGGTCGAAAATAGACAATATCGGTCCAACACATGAATATCTCAATAGCTAGAACATATATCGTTAAACTGGCCCAAAAATTCAGAAGGAGCATTCCCGAAAACCTTATACATCACCTATATCTCAAAATGCCAAAAATTAAGTATAGAACACTAAGGTATGACACCGTTGATGATATGCTATATTCTCCCAACAAATAAGCTGCCCTGTGGAATTTTGTATTCTCGGTGAATAGGAAATTGAAATGAAAACATTAAAAAAGACAATATTTTCTATTCTTTTGAACACTTTGACCTTACAGTTAAAGCAAATGCCTTAACCTTTAAATTACAAATACTTTTCAGAAGTATCTGTTGTAAAACTTGTCTGCTGACAAAACAGAAAACATTTTGTTCTCCAATTTCATTAGAATTTTTATTTCATCCTCAAAAAAAAGAAAAATTCTTCTTCTTGTCAGGAATAACAAAATTTTCATTTTGTTTTCTCTTTCATTTTCTCAACAACTCAGTCATCATCATCATCATCGACAATATTGAAATGCTATCTGGGGAAATGTGTGTGTGATCCTTACAAAACTACAAAATACCAAAGGATTCAAAATGTCAAACATTGCTCTGTCAATATGACAATGAAAGCCCACATCGAAATCAAACGAGACAAGAAAATTAACTACGATTATTTGCCAGACGACAGGCTCTGCGTGTGGCGTTCTCAACCGGAAGTTATGTTAAGATGGAAGTATTAAATATCCGGTGTTTTGCTTATGGTTGATTTTATTTACCAGAAAATATGAAAAGCCTCAGATAAAGTTGAAATTCTATGAATTTCAAAACACTGGAAAATAACAAATAAATATAAAACAAGCTAAAATGTTTCGGACAGTTTGACAACAAATATATAGCCTGTATACACAGGGTGAGATGAAAAAACTGCAACCAACTTCAGACTGCTGTCATTTCTAAGCCACTCGTCCGACAACTGTGATCCTTACAAAACTACAAAATACCAAAGGATTCAAAATGTCAAACATTGTTCTGCCTTGTGTCAATATGACAATGAAAGCCCACATCGTAAACAAACGAGACAAGAAAATTAACTACGATTATTTTTCAGACGACAGGCTCTGCATGTGTCGTCTCAACCGGAATTTATGTTAAGAAGGAAGTATTAAATATCCGGTGTTTTGCTTAAAGTATTATGTTATGGTTGATTTTATTTACCAGAAAATATGAAAAGCCTCGGATAAAGTTGAAATTCTATGAATTTCAAAACACTGGAAAATAACAAATAAATATAGAACAAGATAAAATGTATCGGACAGTTTGACGACAAATATATAGCCTGTATACACAGGGTGAGATGAAAAAACTGCAGACTGCTGTCATTTCTAAGCCACTTGTCCGACAACTGTTAAAATTATTCCAGTGGCAGCTCGTTATATTGTTTACAAGCGTACAGAAGCATTTTGGTGAGAATTTTCCAGAAACAAAGTTATTCGTGATGGAATTCAAGCGTGATAGAGTGATTTCTTTATATTTGGCTGGGAAACCACAAGTGGCTATCGTTAGAGCACTCCAGCATTTAAATGTGAATAAATCTTTTGTGTCGCATACCATCGCTCGTTACCGATTACGTGATAATGGTAGCGTAGCCCGACATATGTCAAGGAAGTGGACGAAAGAACACAGCAACATCAGCAGAAATGGTTCGGAAAGTAAAGAAGCGACTTGATCGATACTCGCGTCGCAGTGGCCGAAAAATGGCTCGTGGGCTGAACATATCGCTATATTCCATTCGACAAATATTCAAAAATGAGCTCGGGGTAATGCCATTTAAATTCCACAAAGTGCAAGAACTTACACCGGTACAGAAAGAAAATAGACTCAAGCGAGCTAAGGAGTTGCTTCGCTTGGCCGAAAGTGGTGAATTGCCGAATTTGGTTTTCTCCGTCTCCGATGATAAAATATTCGTTGTCCAGCAGTTTGTAAACAAACAAAATGATCGTGTTTACTTGTCAAAGAGGTCAGCTCGTGTGCACCTTCGGTTGGCCACCAGAACTCAAGCGCCGGCCATGGTGATGGTGTGAGCCGCCATAACATGCGACGGTCGCTCTTCGCTCGCATTAATCGACCGTGGCATCAGAATAAAAGCCGAATATTATTTCCGACATTTTTTGCTTTCATTCAAAAAAAAAAATTTAAAAAAAAAATGTAAAAATCATGGCGTTTGACTTTGTTGCAGTTTTTTTTATCTCACTCTGTATACCCTCAGCCGATTATTCAAATATATTTTGACATATGTTTTGATTAATTAAATTGTTGACCCTCTATTGAGTAGGTTCCGAAAGAATGGCCTAATATTGTCCATTTCGTATCGAATAATTTTTAGATAATTTTTTTAAATTCGACCTTTTGAAGTGGAGGTACCAGAAGGACCTATATTGCCCATCTCCGAACTCGATCAAAATTGGATAATAATATTACGATGTACCAAGTGTGTACCAAATCGGATACTCCCAGCCAGACCGACGCACGGACATCGCTAGAACGACTCCAAATGTCGTGAAACGGATTTGGTTCAATGAGACCTAGGGCCAAAAACCGTTATTTCGATGAGGCACGTTTTTACCGCATCAAATGTCAAATATGACTGAGAGTATAAAAATATTTTCAAAAAATAGAACAGTGTGGCTTGTTTGTTCGGGATACCGTAGTATTTTGTTGTTGCAAAATGGTCAGGCTTATCCCTTTATTGTTGTTTTTATAAAAACAACGCTTGTTTATTAGTGGAGAACGATGGTAATGTTTATCAGGGGGTAAGGCAGGGAAAGAGCCACCAATCCTCATCAGTTCCCTTGTTTTTTGTCTGGGATATTCTCTCCAGAAGTTATTTTAAAAAATAACTTCTATGACAAAAAACATTTTTTACTCAAGTGACGAGATCGTAAGCTCAATAGAAGAGGAACCAAAGAATTAAATAAAACTAAAATTCTTTTGAAGTCTTCTAAATCTTACAACCGCACATATAAACATTTACATATTTCTCCACTTGTTATGCTTTCGTTCAACCTGAGCGAAGTAGCATAACCATGTAAGTTGGTTTTGTCTGTTACAACAAAAAATCATAGATTAACGTAAAAATATACTATTTTTGGTTAAGATGGTTTTGACCAGTATTGAAAAAAAAAAACACAATTCTTTTCACCGAAAGTCCTGGAAAAATTCTTTAAAAACAATTCTTGATGTTTTGTAGGAGGTCCTAGTACATTTATTTTTAAAAATTTTTAGAACCCAGTCAAAGTTTGACTAAAATCGGTGACCTCGTCACTATAAGAGATTAATAATCTTTCGAAGCTTTCTTCGTTTGTGTGGAAGGTAGCAAATGGAATAAACGTATATATCTTATTATCGCACTGCATCCAATGTCAGTAGTTAGTTTGGGTAATTCATTGACTAATTTCACCACTTATGAAATTTGTGATTTTTTCCATACATTGCCCATTTGTGTGGGGTACCTCCCGGCGATATATTTTTATTCATATACTTGCTGTAATAATGAATCTACATGTGTATACTGTAGACCTTACGATTAGATTTTCCCCTCTTCCTTTCCCTTACCTATTCTTCAATCATGACGTGTAAAAATATTTTCTTTCTCTCCAATAAAGATATTCAACATAAACATAATTGTAAGAAATTTCACAAATAAATTCATATTTTTAAACATATTTTTCTTTTTATTTCATTACAGATTTGATGCATAATTATACAGTGGACATTGATAATAGTTCCTCTTTAATTAACTGTAATTATTAATATCTGATTGTATTGTATTTTAATTACAATTACATGGAAAAATAAAGAAATCATTGTCAAAACGTTTAATGTGGTTTTAATTGTTTTTGCTATAAAGCATTGGTGTGTGAAATATCCATACCTCCCTCTACAAATCCAAAGCATAACCTAAGGCGCAAATAATAACCGTGGGCAAAAATTTGTCGTTCTACAACACTGGTTAAGAATCGTCATTTCAGCGCCATCTATTGAAACACATGATTCTAAACGGACAAATCATTTTTTCATGAGCACAATTTAAAGCCTATAACTTCAAAACTAATGGCGCTATTAAAACAAAACAAGTGGCATATGAACGACTAGATATTTGTCTTTCTTTTGAAGAAGCAAACTTCTTTCCAAGTAAAATATAACAGGAAATATCAAGGAAAATGGGTTTAAAATCGAATTTTGTCCAATTACATCGAAGAAATTCAAAATTTTTGTTTGAGAAGTGAAGAGATCAATGTAGTAGCATTCATATAACACCGATTTTGTGCCGATATCTTAAGTGGCTGAGAAGTTATGGACGAAAGAAATGAAACTTTACATTTTGAATGTGCCATTTTCTATCTAGCTCACCAATAGATGGCGCTGTCAGGAAGTGTTTGCCAGTGTTGCCGCATTGCAAACAACGAAAGAAATTAGTGGAAATTTAAAATGCAAATAACTTTTGAACGCGTAGAGCTATTTAAGAAAACGGATATCTGAAGCTTAGAAGACCCTCTTTTAGTTGAAATATATTGATGACTTTCCTTTCCAAGTAAAAGCGTCGTTAATGTCGGCCGGGTGAATTTTTTATATTTAATGATGGAGAAAGCCTAATTATATCCTCAGTCATATAGCTAGAGAGGGTAAATATCATTTGATATGGCCAAAATGTGCATTATCAAAATAACGTTTTTATACCATAGGTCTCTTTGGACCAAATCCGTTTCAAGACATTTGGAGTCGATCTAACGATGTCCGTCCGTCTTTGTAGTTCGTTGGCTGTTGCGCACGATAACTCTCGAAGGAAGTATTCGATTTGGTCCAAATTTGGTAAATCGTAAAATTATTATCAAACTTAGATCGAGTACGGAGATGTTCAATATCGGTGCACTCCTCCTGGTACCTCCTCCACAAAATGTCAAGATTTTCAAAGAAAATAATTTACGGCACAAAAAGAGAAAGGATAATCCGATTTTGATCCAACTTTGCAAATACTAATATTTGCATTAGTGTTAGGTCAGGTGCGAAAATAGACAATTTTAGTCCGCTCCCCCACAAAGGGTCAAAATTTTGAATAATTACAACTCTTATAAAATGTGATGTAAGAGTCCGATTGTCTTCAAATTACACACATTACAATAATTTTATAAACCCAAGATCTGGTGTGAAGATGGGATAAATCGGCCCACTCCTTCTGGTACCTTCCCCTCAAGTGGTAAATTTTTTAAATATTTAAGAAGCTCATTAATATCCGATTCCATTCATACTTAGCACATCTCAATATTTCTATCAAGACTAGAACTGTTATAAAGATGGTACAGATCGGACCATTTCTTCTCTCTCGGACCATCTATGGAGATCATAAGACGCGAAATAAACATCTAAATCAATTCAGACTTGGAACATCTCAAAATTTCCATCAACACAAGATCTATTATAAAAATGGTAGAGATCGGACTGTTCCTTCCTCCCCCACAAAGGGTCAAAATTTTGAATTTTTGAAAATTTTGAAGCTCATAAAACGTGAAATTAACATCCGATTCCGTTCAGACTTCGCACATCTCAAACTTGAATAATTATAACAGAAGTCAAAATATAATTAAATAATCGAACATTGGCTGAGGATATACATCTGTTGGCAAAATCGACTGATACCTTTATTTGTTTTTTTTCTGCGGTTTAGCTTTGTCAAGACCTCCATACAATGCGTTCTCAGCCGTTGTGCTAACCTTATTGTCCTTTTGGATTTCTATATAAATGCCCTCAAATTTCATAATCCTACCAACATCTCTGAGAGCTTTAACTGGCACATGCGATTTAATTTCATACCATTTAGGATAACAGCCGTTGATGTTGTCTCTACATATGAAATCCTTTTATTAATCCTTTTTTTTTTTCTTTTTTATAAATACAATACCATGACCTTCTTCACCCTTATATTAAGAGAAGAAGAAAAACACAATCATATCTTAAATTGATAATCTTCATTTTTCTGTAGAAGACAAAATACAATATATAAAGAACCGAAAAAAATCGAACCCATTCTAACAAAGAGTATAAATTTCATTTATTATTTATCATTTCTATAAGTCATACAATTGCGCAGACATAAAAATTTTTATTGTTTTTCGAATTAGTTGTCTCTTGTTTTTTTGCATTGCACGTGCAGATATATTTTATTGGCAAGGACTTGGTAAGGTTAAAGGTTAAACTAGTGGAAAACCTAAACAAACATAAATGAAAACCTCTCATACACACATGTGTAGAAAGATAAATACACATACAACAAATAAATAAATAAATGAAAACCTCTTAAGTCAGATCATCAGAGCCAAAGAGGGGGGTGACATACAAAAACTTCTGTTACAAATAATCCAAAATTATCCATTTGTCCCAATAATTTTTGGTACTTTACACAAAAATGTATTTATAATGTCTGAATTTTGCAAATGCTTATTTTATTTAACAAATATATGGAGAGGAGATTTAGATATATAATAAAAGTCTTTACAGGGTCAAAACTAAAACAACCATAGTCCTTGTCAAATGCAATATTATTACTCGATTTAGTCTTAATTTGCCATATTCCAATATATTCAACAAAATTTAATAAATTATGGAAATATATTACATACTCCTTCTTCTAGTACCCATTACACAAACGGTCAAAATTTTGAAACACCCCGAACGGACAATACATATCGATCCAAACCTCGATTATAATTATATATTTTTTTCAAATGTCAGTCAACCCAACAAGGGAAAAATTTAAAATAAACTTATCTCGAGGTCTGTGAACATTTGAGAACATTTTAAAGAGGCTTTACATGGATTTCTAGGCCGAAAATAGTGGTCCTGAATCGTGTATATCTCAAGAGTTTTCTGATAAAAAATTCTGAATGGACATATTGGCCCAAACTTCGAATATCATATTTTAATTAAATATTGATCAGGTAATTTTTTTTTTTTTTAAGGTAAATAAGTAAAATGGTGGATTTAAAAAAAAACGCTTCAAGAATTTTCTGTATAAGAATGGAACCAATTACCGAGGATTTATTACGTCTTAGTTATTTTTTAAAAATTCGTGTGGACTTCCCAGTCCAGAATCTTGGATTTTTTAATGAATTTATTTATTTCATTTTTGTGACAAGGATTTCTTGGTCAAGAATTTTAAATTATTTTTCAAACACTTTCTGTTTAAAAATGTTGAATTTTAATGATAATTTTAATAATAATGATTTTCGACAACTTTTATTCAACAAAAATCAGGGATTAAAATAAAACATTTTAATGAAAATTTTTGAAATATATTTTTTAAGTACTTCAGTGCCAAAAAATTTTTGATTTTTTTTTTTTTTTTTTTGAAATATATTTCAAGGGCTTTCAGCCCAAGAATCGTGGATTTTAATAACAAAGATTTTGAAGGATTTCCGGGCCAAGAATCGTAAATTATTATAAAAAAAAAACTTTTTTAAGAACCTTCCAAAAATCGAAGATATCCCTAAAATAAATTTTCATAGAATTTTGGATTTTTTAAAAATATTTTTAAGGATATCTTGGCCAAAAATCATGTATACTTTTTAAAAATACTTCTTTCAAGGCAAGATTTTTTTTGAAAATATTTGTTTAAAGGCTTCCTTTTCAATTATTATGTTTTAATTTTTTTTTTTTTTTCCAAAGACTGCCAAGAATTTTGAATGTTTTATTCTTTTAAGGACTTCTGGGCAAACAATCTTAGACCTTAAGGTCCAGGAAAAGAATCGTCGATTTTTTTTAAATATTTGTTATGACCTTCTTGGCCAAAATACAGAATGTTTATAAATACTTTTTTAAGGACTTCGATGTCAAAGAATTGTGGATTTCCAGGTCATTTTTTAAGATCTTCCAGGCCATGAATCGTGGATGGATTTTTACAAAATTATATTTTCAAGCATTTCTTAAAATTGATTTTTTAAAATAAATTTTTTACGGACCTCCGCGTTAAGAATGGAAGATTTTTTTTAAATGTTTTTTTATGAAATAGTGGATAGTTAAAAAATATATTTAATGGATTCTTTACAAAGAATTGTGGCTTTAAAAAATAAGGCAAAAATTTGGGATTTTTTAAAAATTTTATAGAATTTTGGACTTTTTGAATGTCAATGGGTTTCAGGTCAACCTCGTATATTTTTGAAGAAAATTTGTCAAGATCTTACTGATAATATTTGAATCCAGATTTTTTTTAAATATCAAATTTTTTATGAGCTTTCTCGAAGACAAGTATCGTAGTTGTTTCTGAAAATCTTTTTTTTATTAATTTAGGTAAGAATTACGAATTTTTTATATATATTTGTTCGAGGGCTATCGAAACCATTTGTTAAAAAATTCAAGGTCTTTTTGACCAAGAATCAGAGATATTTCAAATTTACCACCACATCATAAATTATGTCCCAAAATTTCACCTCATGGCCAAAAATCGGCAAAATTTTAATATTTATTTTTTTTATCTTTATTTTTTTATTAAAAAAAATCGTGGATTTCTTCATAAATATTTTGTGGATTTTTTTCAACATTTTTTGCTGATCATGAAGAAGTTTTGTAGGACTTACTGGTAATCAGGGACTTTTTTTGAGGGATTTCACATAAAATTTCGTAGATTAGAAATTCAATGACCTAATGGAAATGTACAAATCTCTGAGTATTAAAATATTTCCAAGAACTTTCTGGCTCTATGTAAATTGTTGATTTTTAAGAAAGCAAGTCAGGGTCCTCCTGTCGAAAGGATCTGTATTTTATATTATTTGATTACCGTCATACATTCCTGCCAAAATTATACCATAAGTTTTTAAGCTGTGACATATTTATGCCCTCTGTTGTGCTGATAGGAATTAAAAAAAAAACTCAGCATCACACAATTTCACCCACTAAATGTTATCCGAAAGTCATTGAAAATGCTAAGCATTTGCCGTATCCTATCCGTTAAAATCATGCAAAATTCCGTGTCAATTGGTTTTTAATAGTGACCTGCAAAATCAACGAAATTTTCAGTTTTTTTGACTTTTGCAAGCCATTTATATATTTTTAAAAAATAGATCGGATCATAATTGTTATAACAAATTAACATGGACAGACGGACTTGATCGACTCAGCTTGGTGAGATTAGAAAAGTTCGTGGATCTTGTTTTTTTTTTTTTTGAACTTTTTGGCCTCCAACATATGGTCTTGTAGGTTATAATTATTTTGAGGAGAGATAATTATATTTTGAACAACCTTCCCTATCAAAGAACAATGAGGCATAATTATGTTTTTTATTTTTTCATAGCATAACAATATTTGATTTTTTTCTAATTTCCAAAAATTTAAATTCTGCAAAAAATACATGTCCTTCATAATAAATTTTAATCTATATATTATGGATTTTTTTATCAAGCATACATAAATTAATGCATATAAATCCAATCAAATCTAAACATTTCCACAAAATAACAAATGAAAATTGAAAACGCAACTTACCTTTTTTAATACCATTCTCGGTGGTCGCTGCGGTTACTGGACCGGCATCTGATGTTGTTTTGTAATTGTTATGTGCGGTTGATAGAGTTGGTAGTGTTGGTGGAGCGGGCAAAGGTGCAGCATAACACATGGCAGGTGAGTTACGATGTTGTCGTTTTTTTTTTTTTTTTTTATATAGTTCCATTGTAAAAATGTGCCATATAATATTTATATATATATAGCAAATCAAATAAATAATTTCAAAAATATATATATTTTTTTGTGTGTGTGGCAGCATTCATATTTACAGGTTGTTTGTGGTTTATAAAAAAATATTTAAATAAATCATGCAAAAAAAGAGTAAAATTTTATCAATAAATTATTTGAGTACTTTGATAATATATGCGTGTATATACAACTATTAATTTCACGCAACAGCATGCACAAAAAAACGAGGAATGCAAATTATTTATGAACGACGTTTATCAATCTTTGCCCTTTAATTAAAATTAATTTAATGCAATTTAAAAGCAATTAAATTTCACAGTGGCAAACAAAAGTGAGCAGTATAATGAGAATACACCTTTTCTAAATTAGACAAACTTAGATGGAGTTCGAAGATATGGAATATATGTATCATCACTAGATGTGGATCGAAGATGGGATATAAGGATGAATCCCTTCTGGTACCTCTAACACAAAGGTTTCAATTTTCTATGCAAATGACCAACTGCAACAAGATATCAGTCGGTTTTGCCCACAGATGTATTAAGTCAGTCTTGCATTATGATTGGTCAAACTTTTGACCCTTTATGGGGCGATCCGAGGGAGTGGGCCAAAATTGTCCATTTCGTATCTGACCTAAGTCTGATAAAAATATTAGAATGAGCCAAATTTGGACTATATCGACTATTTCCTTCACATTTAATAAAATTTGTGATAATGGTTGAAATATGTGTAAGGTATCGGACCGAAGTATTTCACTTTATTTAATACTGATAAAAATGTTGGTATGTGCAAAATGTAAATAAAATCGAACATTTATTTCCAATTTTATGGGAATAATAAAAATGTTAAACTTTTGTGGCGAAGGTACCAGAAGGATTTGGCCGATAAATTCCATATTTCCATAAGATCTCTGGTTGAGAAAAATATTAAGACATACCAAGTTTGAAAAAAATTGTTAACTTGAATCCCCTTTGTGGGGGAGGTACCAGAAGGGGTGGGCTATTATATATGATCTTCACAACAGATCTTGTGTTGATAAAAAATATTGCGATGTGTGAAATTTGAAGAGAGTCGTATGCTTCTATGAGCGTTATGCTATCGCATTCTATGAGCGTTATAATTATTTAAAATTTTGTCCCTTTGTGGGGTAAGTACCAGAAGGAGTGGTCTGATATCTACCATATTCACAATAGATCTTTTGTTAGTAAAAATATTAGGATGTGTCAAATTGGAAAAGAATCGGGGGATAAGTTAAAATTCTATTAGAAATATAGTTATTTAAATTTTTGACCCGTTGTAAGGGAGGTAGCAGAAAGAGTGGCCCGACATTATTCATTTTCACACCTGGTCTTATGTTGATAGAAATATTGGAATCTGCTAAATTTGAAAATAATCGGATACTCATTTCTCGTGTAATGAGTTTCATAGTTATTCAACATTTTGACCCCTTTGTGGGGGAGGTGCCAGAAGGAGTGGGCCGATATATATCATCTTCACACCAGATCTTGTGTTGATAAAAATATTGGAATGTGTTAAATTTGAAGAGAGTCGTGTGCTTATATCGCATTTTATGAGCGTTATAATTATTCAAAATTTTGACACTTTGTGATGGAGGTACCAGCAGGAGTGGTCAGATATCTACAATATTTCTGCCGATCTTATGTTAATAAAAACATTAGGATGTGTAAAATTTGAAAACAATCGGATGTCCATTTTAAATTTTATTAGAAATATAGTTATTCAAAATTTTAACCAGTTGTGGAGGAGGTATAAGAAGGAATTGGGCGATATATCCAATCTTCACATCAGATCTTGAGTTGGTGGAAATATTGTGTGTGAAATTATTTTCGGATTCTTATTTCGAGTTTTATGGGGCTTAATAGTTATTCCAAATGTTGACCCTTTGTGAGGAAGGTACCAGCAGGAGTGGTTTGATATCTACCATATTCACAACAGATAATTATTCCAAATTTTGACCCTTTGTGGGGAAGATACCAGAAGGAGTGGTCCGACATATTTCATATTTCATCACGAGATCTTTTGCTGATACAAAATATTGGGATGTGTGAAATTTGAAGAGAACCAGATGATCATTTTGCGTTTTACGAGCTTCGTGCCTATTCAAAATTTTGACCCGTTGTGGGTGATGTACGCGAAGGGATAGATCGGCATATCCCATCTTCGCGCCAGATCTTATGCTGATAGAAACATTGCGATGTGCATAATTTAAAGACAATCGGACACTTATTTCCCAATTTTTAACGGTTATAATTATTCCAAATTTTGACCCTTTATGGGGGAGGTGCTTGATGGAATGAGTCGATATTATCCATTTTCGCACCTGACCTGCCACTAACAAAAAATTTGGGATTTGTAACGTTTGCACAAAATCGGATGACCCTTACAAAGAAGAAAGATATTTTTTCGAACTTTTGTGGGGGAGGTGCCGGAAGGAGTGGACCGATATTGTCCATTTTCGACCACGATCTAAGTTTGACAATAATGTTACGATGTACCAAGTTGGACCAAATCGAATACTCCCTTCGAGAGTTATGGTGCACACTAGACAGACAGAAGTATGAACAGGTACCCCTACATCGACTTCAAATGCCCTGAAACGAATTTGGCTCAAAGAGATCTAGGGTCTATAACCGTTATTTCGATGAGACACGTTTTGGCCGTATTAAATGATATTTATGTATATACCCTCTGCAGCCATATGGTAGAGGGTCTCCTATTCCTTCCTCCTTGAGGTCACCTATTGCCTATAGCAGATCTTGATGTCTCCTATTGTCTATAGAAGACCTTGAGGTCTCCTATTGTCTATAGAAGACCTTGAGGTCTCCTATTGTCTATAGAAGACCTTGAGGTCTCCTATTGTCTATAGAAGACCTTGAGGTCTCCTATTGTCTATAGAAGACCTTGAGGTCTCCTATTGTCTATAGAAGACCTTGAGGTCTCCTATTGTCTATAGAAGACCTTGAGGTCTCCTATTGTCTATAGAAGATCTTGAGGTCTCCTATTGTCTATAGAAGACCTTGAGGTATCCTATTGTCTATAGAAGACCTTGAGGTCTCCTATTGTCTATAGAAGACCTTGAGGTCTCCTATTGTCTATAGAATACCTTGAGGTCTCCTATTGTCTATAGAAGACCTAGAGGTCTCCTACTGTCTATAGAAGACCTTGAGGTCTCCTATTGTCTATAGAAGACCTTGAGGTCTCCTATGATCTATAGAAGACCTTGAGGTCTCCTATGATCTATAGAAGACCTTGAGGTCTCCTATGATCTATAGAAGACCTTGAGGTCTCCTATGGTCTATAGAAGACCTTGAGGTCTCCTATTACCTAGAGAAGACCTTGAGATCTGATATTGTCTATAGAAGACCTTGAGGTCTCCTATGGTCTATGGAAGACCTTGAGGTCTCTTATTGTCTATAGCAGATCTTGATGTCTCCTATTACCTAGAGAAGACCTTGAGATCTGATATTGTCTATAGAAGACCTTGAGGTCTCCTATGGTCTATGTAAGACTTTGAGGTCTCTTATGGTCTATAGAAGACCTTGAGGTCTCCTATGGTCTATAGAAGACCTTGAGGTGTCCTATTGTCTATAGAAGACCTTGGTCTCCTATGGTCTATAGAAGACCTTGAGGTCTCCTATGGTCTATAGAAGACCTTGGTCTCCTATGGTCTATAGAAGACCTTGAGGTCTCCTATGGTCTCTAGAAGACCTTGAGGTCTCCTATGGTCTATAGAAGACCTTGAGGTCTCCTATGGTCTATAGAAGACCTTGAGGTCTCCTATGGTCTATAGAAGACCTTGAGGTCTCCTATGATCTATAGAAGACCTTGAGGTCTCCTATGGTCTATAGAAGACCTTGAGGTCTCCTATTACCTAGAGAAGACCTTGAGATCTGATATTGTCTATAGAAGACCTTGAGGTCTCCTATGGTCTATGGAAGACCTTGAGGTCTCTTATTGTCTATAGCAGATCTTGATGTCTCCTATTACCTAGAGAAGACCTTGAGATCTGATATTGTCTATAGAAGACCTTGAGGTCTCCTATGGTCTATGGAAGACTTTGAGGTCTCTTATGGTCTATAGAAGACCTTGAGGTCTCCTATGGTCTATAGAAGACCTTGAGGTGTCCTATTGTCTATAGAAGACCTTAAGGTCTCCTATTTTCTATAGAAGACTTGAGGTCTCCTATTGTCTATACAAGACCTTGAGGTTTCCTATTGTCTTTAGAAGACCTTGAGGTCTCCTATTGTCTATAGCAGATCTTGATGTCTCCTATTACCTAGAGAAGACCTTGAGATCTCATATTGTCTATAGAAGACCTTGAGGTCTCCTATGGTCTATGGAAGACCTTGAGGACTATTATGGTCTATAGAAGACCTTGAGGTCTCCTATGGTCTATAGAAGACCTTGAGGTCTCCTATTGTCGGTGGAAGACCTTGAGGTCTTCTATTGTCTATAGAAGACCTGGAGGTTTCCTCTCTGATAAAAAAGACTTGAAGATTTTGACCTTGAAGATGAAGTTTTATATATTTTCTGTATTAAGAATTTTTTATCGGTATGACCATAGGTATAACTTTGTCTCAAAAAGGATATCAAAATTCTAGGAAATTTGCAATATATGGGCTCACAAAAAGGTTCCTTTGGACATACAGACCCCTAAATTTTGGGGGCCCGTTACAGTTAAATTTGATGAGATAAGGCAAAACTGCGAGATACATGACTCATATGTTTTGGTCTTCTAATATGCAGCCGGGTCAGAATATGATTAATTATTTTCGTGTTGCATAATGTTATTTAACTTTTTCCACTATCATTTCTTTCTTGGAATATTTTTGTAAAATTTTAAATTTTCATTTTTTGAATACTTTTTGTTTTACTTGTTTAAATTTAAATTCGGTATTTTTATTTAAAGAACCATCAAAATTCTTGGAACGATTAACATGATTATGCCATGTTAAATAGTTGTGCTTTGGTTATGTAATCTTTAATGTCGATTTTCTGTTTGCTCAAATAAACTTAAATTGCCACACAAGTACATGCTGGCGTATACGTTTACAATAGCAAACGTTAATACAAACACAAACACGGATAAATTTTCAGCGAAGCAGAATTTTCTGTTTACAAGTAAAACTCAATTAAAGTATTATTTCCAATGAAGTGGGGGGGGGGGGGGGGTTATGGTGTAATACTAGGATTGCAACCAATAGATACATAGTTTAGTAGTGGTTTCACATTTTCTCGGAAGAGAATAAACATTTTGTTGGAAAAACAAAGCTCAGGTATGAGTTCATGTGAACCCCAAATACCAACATTTGTTAGTTGTTGGTAGTTATGCAAAAGCAACTTTGCATGTTGCCTTAGATTTTTTTCTATTTTCACATTAATTTGTAGGTGTATGGGGAAGGGAAACTAATAATAATAGCAACGTTATTCTACATTGTTATAATATGTTTTTAAATTGTTGGACGGAAAATATTTCCATGAATGGAAAGAAAAGTCGGCCGGTTAATAAAAAAGTTTACTATAAAAAGCAATTTGCTTGAAAAAAAGAAGGTTTGGTTTTATACCCTCAGCCACATGGCTAGAGAGGGTGTATATCATTTGATACGGTCAAAACGTACCTAGTCGAACGTAGGTTTAGACCCTAGGTCTCTTTGAACCAAATCCGTTTCAGGACATTTGGAGTCGATCTAGCGATGTCCGTCCGTCCGTCTGTCTGCTCACTTCTTTTGGTACCTCCCCCACAAAAAGTCGAAATTTTCAAAAAATATTTTTTTTGCACAGAAAGTGAAATGATAATCCAATTTAGCTTCAACTTTGCAAATCCTAATATTTGCGGCAATGCCACGCCAGGTGCGAAAATGGACAATATCGGTCCACTCAATCAAGTACCACCCCACAAAGGGTCTAAATTTTGAATAATTACAACTCTTATAAAATGTGATGTAAGAATCCGATTGTCTTAAAATTTCACACATTGTAATATTTATATAAAACCAAGATCTGGTGTTCTGACAACCACCACAAAAGAAAATTCGAAATTTTTAATACCCATTAAGCTCATAAAACACGAAATTAACATCCGATTCCATTTTTACTTAACACATCTGAATATTTCTATCATCACAGAATCTGTTAAGAAAACGGTAGAGATCAGACCATTCCTTCTGGTACCTCCCCCACAAAGGGTCAAAGTTTTTTTATAAAATCCGAAATAAGCATCAGGTTCTCTTTATATTTCACACATCCCATTATTTTCGCTAACAAAAGACCCGTTGTGAAGATGGGTATATCGGTCCACTCCTTCTGGTACCTCCCCCCCCACAAAGGCTCAAAATTTTGAATATCCATGAAACTCAAGTAAAATTGACATCCGATTCCATTCAAGACCTGGTGCATCCCAATATTTCCATTAACACAACACAGTCCAAATATAGCACGTCGCAATATTTAAATTATATTTATTTAGGTCCGATACGAAATGGCCAATATTGGTCCATTCCTTCGGAACATACTACATAATAATGAATAATCATAACAGAAGTCAAAATGTTTTTGAATAATCGAACATTGGCTGAGGGTATACATCTGTCGGCAAAACCGACCGATACTTTTTTACTTGTTTTATGATACTTAGGGTTATGCATAGACCTCGAGGTACATGAAGTTGCACATTTTTTTGTATTCGAAGTTTGCACCAAATTAATACTTAAAAATACTTCACTTCCTATCGATCACGGAAGGAATTGACCGATCTTAGAAATCTTCAAATTCGATATAAATTTAAAGGAAAAATTATGTTGCGCCAAGTTTGGGTAAAATCCCAGAATCCCCTCTAGACACTCTTTAAAGATTTTTACCCAACAAGTTCTTAAAACTCTTTTTTTTTTTTTGTTTATATAACTATTTTAATTATTTGTAGTCATCATATGGCTGATGGTATAACACTTCTTTGTTTTTGCTTTGCTTAACCTTTGTAGAATCTCTTTACAATTCTTCTAATTCTCTAATTAATCTCCTTAAGCCCATTTTAATATAAAAATAGGTTTAAAGGGAAATGTTTTACTTTTATTTTAGGAGATATATTAAAAAGGCTTTCCTTTCACTGCCCCGTCCGTAAAAATTTAAACGGAATGCTAAACTTGTAAGGTTAGTTCAACAAAATCTCAATATGGACATTGTTTTGGGTATTTCAGGCTCGCCTTCGTATCTCCTACGCAGTCTTTCAAAAATGACTGGGAGAACGTTTCTCAAGAAGCGACATTTAATAAATAACTTTCGTTTCATGAATAATTTGCATTCTTTGTTTTGTAGAATTCCTGTTGTTGTTATTGTTATTGCTGATATAACAAACAACAACAACTTTAATTAACATCCTTATTAGGCTTTCTGCCCGCCCAAACTCATTGGTTTTCCATGAATTTGAGTTATATTTTGATATGAAATCAACATTTCAAGTAAATCTGTGTGCGTTCGGTATTTTTTGTAGTGGTATTGGTAGGTGGATGAGAAAAAAAATACAATTGTTAGCTGTTGCTCTGATCTGCTTACCTTGGGATACATTGCGACTCAACGAATCCATGCTGCCGCTCAAACCATTCTGGCCGGTGCGCTCCACTGAATTGAGGTCGGCAGAGCTTTCGTTGGGCTGCAACGTACGTGGCACATCCAAGATATTCCGCTGGGCATTGCTTTCATCGCCCAGTATTTGTGAACAATCCAAACCATTTGGAACACGTAGTATAGCCACGGATAAGTACATGTCCAATGCCTTGAAAGTGAGACACACAAAGGTTTTTTGTTATTACTCTCCTCTAACGGAACGCAATGTTCCATTGCCATTTAATGCTCCAGAGTTTCAGCAGGAATTTCGAACGGAAAAAAATTCTGTGAGCAGTATATGGCCGGAACACGAATTAAAGAGCTTGTTCATCATGACTTCTTCGTAGGATGATGATAAATGGCGAAAAAAAAAAAAATAAAATCTAAAAAAATATCTCTCAACGAGATTTCTGCTTTTCATCCATTTCATTCGTTTGCCTTTCCACCTTTAGCCCATGGACCAGCATCAGCATCCATCCGTATCAGCGGCCCAACTTACCTTGTGCATTATATTAAAGTATTGCGTTAGATCCTTGTGTTCGCAGGTCTGCCAGTCTGCCTTGTAACCCATTAATAAAATATTCGGTTTCAGTTTGCCAATGCCGGAAGCCTATGAAGGGAAAACAAAACAAGAAAAAAATGATTAAAGTTTAAACAAGCAAAAAAGCTGTAAGTTCGGCAGGGCCGAACCTTGACTACCCTCCACCATTTGGTACAAATTTGGCAATTCTCAAAAAAAATAAAATCCGTTAAAAATTTTGTTAAAATCTTAAAAATACCGAATGTAGCTGTTATATTAGGGTCTATACGACAACGTGGACCTGAATAGGCAACTTTTGTCACAAGCTATTACAATATTGAAATGCGAAACTTGAACAAAAAACTGTTTATAATGAAGCTAAAATCATCAAAATACCGAATATAGGGAGGTACCATGGGGGTTATAAATCGTGGACCTGCACATAAATTTTTTGGCATAGGCTGTAGTATCCATAACGAACTTCAGATACAAAATTTGAAATAATTCCGGTAAATAATGTCGCTAAAATCATCAAAATTCCGAATATCGGGGGATACCGTTATATGGGAGCTATTCGAAGACGTGGACCTACATGGTTCATTTTCTGTCTCAAGCCGTAGTATCCATTACGAACTTCAAATACCAAATTTGAAACAATTCCGGTAAATAATGTCGCTAAAATCGTTAAAATACCGAATACCGGGGGGTACAGTTATATGGGGGCTATACGAAGACGTGGACCTACATGGCCCATTTTCTGTCTCAAGCCGTAGTATCTATTACGAACTTTAAGTGGCAATTTTGAAACAATTCCGGTAAATAATGTCGCTAAAATCATCAAAATACCGCATATCGGGAGGTACCGTTATATGGGGGCTATACGAAGACGTGGACCCGCACGGACAATTTTCTGTCATAGACTGTAGTGTCCATGACGAACTTTAAATGCGAAATTTGAAACAATTCTGGTCAATAATGTCGCTAAAATCATAAAAATACCGAATATAGGGAGGTACCATGGAGGTTATAAAACGAGGACCTGCGCAGACAATTTTCTGTCATAGGCTGTAGTATCCATTACGAACTACAGTGATTTCCACAGACGGACGGACATTGCTAACTTTGTGGGGTCTAGAGTGTATATTTCGAGGTGTTACAAACGGAATGCCAAACTTAATATACCCTACATACTATGGTGGAGAGTATAAAAATATGTTTATCATTGTTCACAAAATTAGAAGAAAACGAGAAAAAAAACCTGCAGCCACCATGAGAAGTCTGTGTTTGGTTTGTTAATACGCCCACAAGGTAATATTTTTCAGGTGGGCAAACACACCAGTCATGGTGGAAATATTAATAAAAGAAATGTTTTAAAAGAATATAACTTTACTTTAAATGATGTTACAATATTTTAGAGTGTTGAGAGGTTCTTTATGGATATTATGATCTGGAAAAAATAACTTGAAAATATTTCAAAAAAAAAAAAAAATAATAATAAATAAATAAAAAATTTAAAAGCTAAAAATATTCAAAAGCCTGAAATCTTAAATTTTCAAAGTCACAAATCTGTAAAGTATCCTCGTGGACATGATAATGCACAAGAGCCACTCACATTATCTATGCATGACAGTGATTTTATTTTGCAGTGGTACATGCTGGCGTATACATGTTGTTAGCACGTATACGCCACAGAAGGCAGGTGATGATTTTAAGTGTGTGTATTGGTGTGTGTGCAACACGAGCTACCTTTTAGGTTACTAGACCCATTATTTAATGAAAAACTCAATTATAGAAATTTTTTGTTATGAGGTAGGCCACACCAATGGAAGCCAAATTGATCCCTTGGTTTAACATTTCTTTGGGATGGGGATAGGTTGGCTGCTATTAAAAGCACTTAGCTGATACAATCAAGTGGCACTTTACTATACATATGTAAAATAAAAAGCTAATGGTATTGATTTATATCTAAACAAATCAAAAGGTATCAGTCTGGTTTGCCGACAGATGTATACCCTCAGCCTTGAGTTATGATTATTCAAACTGTTGACCCTTGGGGAGGTTCCGAAGCAATTGACCAATTCGTATCTGACAACAACGTGCTATATTTTATATAAGATATGTGCAAAGTTTTGAAAATGTTAAAATATGCGTGAGGTACCAGACATAGTCGATCGAAGTATTCCATTTTCATACTTCATCTAAAACAGATAAAAATACAGGTAATGGCAATATGTCAAAAATATCGAGCATTATCATCTAAGTTTATGGGAAATCATAAGTTTCATATTCATCTGGGGTTTCTGGTTGAGAGAAACATTTGGATATAGAAAATCGCAATGTTTTGCAAGATATGACAGACCCATTGTGGGTCAGTTTGACTAACGCAAAAATGTTTGGATATGTGAAATTTAATGAAAGTTGGATGCTTCTGGAAACCTATGTGGGGGATGTATCAGAAGAAATGGTCCGATCTCTTTCATTTTCATAACAGATCTTTTGTTGATGGAAATATTGAGATGTATGAAGTCTGAATGTAATCGGATGTTAATTTCGTGTTTTATGAGCTTCGTATATTCAAAATTTTGGTCCTTTGTGGGGAGGTACCAGAAGGAGTGGAGCGATATTACCCATATTCACAGCTTATCTTGTGAAAAATGGGATGTGTGAAGTATGAAGAGAACCGAATGCTTTTATCGGATTTTATGATCCTTTTGGTCATTCAAAACTTTGACCCTTTGTGGGGGAGGTACCATAAGGAGTAGTCCGCTATATCCCATCTCTACACCAGACCTGGGGTTAATAAAAATAGTGTGATGTGTGCAATTTGCAGACAATCGGACTCTTACATCTCATTTTATAAGAGTTAAAACTATTCAAAAATTTGACCCTTTGTGGGGGAGGTACCTGATGGAATGGAACGATATTATCCATTTTCGCACATGATGCAAATATTATGATTTGCAAAGTTAGGGCAAAATCGGATTATCCTTTCTCTTTCTGTGTCGAACATTATCTTCTTTGCAAATGTTGACATTTTGTGTGGGAGGTACCAGAAGGAGTGGACCGATATTGTCCATCTCCGAATTCTATATAAGTTTAATAATAATATTACGATGTTCCAAGTTTGGATCAAATCGGACTGACAGACGGACGGACGTACATCGTCAAATCGACTCCAAATGTCCTGAAACGGATTTGGTCCAAACAGACCTAGGATCTAAAACCGTTATTTCGATGAAGCAAGTTTTGGCCGTATCAAACGATATATACACTCTCTAGTCTTATGGCTGAAGGTACAAAAAATTACATGCTCTATCGTCAATCTGGTCGACAGAAGTGGAATTTCAAGTAAGAAGAATCAATACATGAAAATCCTGATGTCTAATATTGTACATAGGAGGACCTAAGATCCTATTGTCTATAGACGACCTTGAGATCTTCTACTGTCTATAGGAGACCTTGAGGTCTTCTACCGTCTATAGAAGATCTTGAGGTCTTCTAATGTCTGTAGAAGACCTTGAGGTCTTCTAATGTCTGTAGAAGACCTTGAGGTCTTCTAATGTCTGTAGAAGACCTTGAGGTCTTCTAATGTCTATAGAAGACCTTGAGGTCTTCTAATGTCTATAGAAGACCTTGAGGTCTTCTAATGTCTATAGAAGACCTTGAGGTCTTCTAATGTCTATAGAAGACCTTGAGGTCTTCTAATGTCTATAGAAGACCTTGAGGTCTTCTAATGTCTATAGAAGACCTTGGGGTCTTCTAATGTCTATAGAAGACCTTGAGGTCTTCTAATGTCTATAGAAGACCTTGAGGTCTTCTAATGTCTATAGAAGACCTTGAGGTCTTCTAATGTCTATAGAAGACCTTGAGGTCTTCTAATGTCTATAGTAGACCTTGAGGTCTTCTAATGTCTATAGAAGACCTTGAGGTCTTCTAATGTCTATAGAAGACCTTGAGGTCTTCTAATGTCTATAGAAGACCTTGAGGTCTTCTAATGTCTATAGAAGACCTTGAGATCTTCTAATGTCTATAGAAGACCTTGAGGTCTTCTAATGTCTATAGAAGACCTTGGGGTCTTCTAATGTCTATAGAAGACCTTGGGGTCTTCTAATGTCTATAGAAGACCTTGAGGTCTTCTAATGTCTATAGAAGACCTTGAGGTCTTCTAATGTCTATAGAAGACCTTGAGGTCTTCTAATGTCTATAGAAGACCTTGAGGTCTTCTAATGTCTATAGAAGACCTTGATTACTTCTAGTGTCTATAGAAGACCTTGATTACTTCTAGTGTCTATAGATGACCTTCAGGTCATTTATTGTTTACTTTTATTTATAGACGACCTCGAGGTCTTCTATCATCCATAAATAAAACTTAATTTGTTTATACCCTCCACCATGGAATGGATGGTATATTAGGTTTGTCATTCAGTTTGTTACACCTCGATGTCCGTCCATCTGTCCTTCTGTAGAAATCACTCTAGCTTCCGAACGCAATGAAGTATGTTGATAAAAATGTACTTAAATGTATATTATGTCTGCAGGACTTTTGGTGTTGAAAATGGGCCAAGAAGGTCCACGTTTTGGTATAGCCCCCATATAATAGTACCTCCCGATATTCGGTATTTTGATGATTTTAGCGATATTATTCACCGAAATTGTTTGAAAATTTGTATTTCAAGTTCGTAATGAATACTACAGCCTATGACAGGAGATTGTCTGTGAATGTGCACGTTTTTATATAGCCCCCATACAACGGTATCTCCCGATATTCGGTATTTTAATGATTTTAGCTACAGTATTCACCGATTTTTTTGTTCAAGTTTCGCATTTGAATATTCTAATGGCTTGTGGCAAAAATTGCCTATGCAGGTCCACGTCGTCGTATAGACCCTAATATAATGGCTACATTCGGCATTTTTAGGATTTTTGCAGAATTTTTAACGGATTTTATTTTATTACTTTTTTTTAAATTCCAAATTCGTTCCAAATGGTGGAGGGTATTAAAAGTTCGGCCCGGCCGAACTAACACCTTTTTTTACTTTTTATCATCTATAAAAGGGCCTAAGTTCTTCTGAAGACCACAGAGGAACCTTGAAGTCTTCTTAACATTTTTAAATTTTAATTTTCATCATTCTTTGCACTATCCACCACATGGTTCTGTTTGTCCGACCAGCATATCAAATTTATAATTTAAAATTTTTATTTTTTTATTTTTTTTTATTTTTATTATTATTTTTTTTTTAATTCCAATTCCGTTCCAAATGGTGAGGGGTATTAAAAGTTCGGCACGGCCGAACTTACAGCTTTTTTACTATTTATCATCTATAAAAAACCCTAAGTTTTTCTGAAGGCCACCGAAGAACTTTGAAGTCTTCTTAACATTTTAAAATTTTAATTTTTATCATTCTTTGCACTATCCACTACATGGTTGTGTTTGTCCGACCAGCATATCCAAATATAATTTAAAAATATCCAAGGTTATTTTTTGCAATGTTTTTTTTTTTTTTTTTTTGTTAAAAATTGACAATGTAAAGAATTTCCCTTAATTCTGGATAAAATTCTCAATTTTCCTTGACAAAATACAATTTGATCTTTAAATGTTTACATATTTAAATATTATTTCAGTTTGACCCTCTCACGTTAGTCCTATCCTTTTTTGCGACAATATGTGTGTTTATGTAGTTTATCAAATTTCTGTTTTTGATGAAAAGCAGTTCAAACATTTCATGTTAATGTAAATTTGTCCTTCGACAATCCTTGTAACACTGTAGAACAAAATTATAGTAAAATTCGGGATTTATGCTGGATTTTCCGCCAAAATTAAAAAAATGGCAACAGATCAAAGTTAAGGGGTTTTTTTAATTTTTTTTGGGACATGTTCAAAATACGAGGTAAAGTAATACATATATATTTGGGCTACGGTGGGGCATATAACAAAAAAAAAATGATGTGATCATTTACAACATAACTCATTTTTTGAAGATTTTGTTTTTGAGGGTGGACTCATCATTTAATGTCATCTCCAGATAATTTTATATTTTTTCTCCAAACCACATTTTGTTGCCCTGTGTAAGAAATGCTACCTTTCCGAATTAATACAATATAAACATTACAAAATAAGACATGACAAGTCCTTTTAGTTTTTTTTTTTTTGATATGTCCAAATTCATAACATGTTCAAGTCGTTCAGTGACAATGACAAGTATTGACGCATTAAAAGGTTTTCTTTTTTTGGAGGGGTTGGCAATGTGGTTTTCTGCCTCCATCACAGGAAATAGCCCATCATTAACACAAAATAATAAAAAAAAAGTATTTATGGTCACACCAACCTGCATCAGTGCCCGGGAACCCGACTCGAAATCCTCACCATCCACCAGCGAATAGAAACCTTTGACACGATGTCTGCGGAACCAAGTGGTGGCACGTTCCTGCAAATAGTTGCGATAACGTTGTGAGCTCGTGCCACGCAATACGTGACCGCAAACCATCAGCGATAAATTCTTCGTCAGCATATAGGCGAAGTCGACCAGCACCGGACGGGTGTTGGGCAGGCCGGAAAGTACCAAAATTTGCGGGCGATAGTTCTTCACATGCTCTTCAACGTTATTCAACTGTTGTACAGAAATCAGAGCGTTCTTGTAGGTCTGTGCCTGGGTGGTGGAGCCCCAATTAACATCCGGCTTGCGGTAGGCGACGATTAAGTACAGTGCCAGGACCACGGCGAATGTGATCAAGGCGGTGGCCCATGATATCAGGAACATGACGGCCACACAGAGGATGGCACCCACGAGACTTAGCCACATGTTGTAGTACTGCGGAAAACGGCGAAGAAAGAGGAGGAGAAGAGGAAAACATATTAACATAAATTAAAGTACATTAGAGAGAGAATATACATAGCAATGTTCAGGATGTTGTTGTTATTGTTAGTGTTTTTGTGGTTATTGCTTTCTCACATAAATTCAATAAAAAGCGTTCTTATGATGGCAAATTGTTGATACTGTTGAGCATAATTTAAAGCTGAATCCTGCCAGCATTTTGTTGGTATCAGGGATTATACGTCATTCTTAAAGTGCCCCAAGGAGTATAGCTTAACTTAAATAACATTACAGGAAATATCTGTTTATTATGTGGTCAATTGGAAGGATGAGGTGTGAAAATATTTGAACTCATGCTCTAACGTAGAAGACCTGTTGTGCGCGCTCTCCTGAAGAGAGAGGCTCAGTGTAAACTTTGGAAATGTTATAAAAAAAATTGACAAAAAAGTCGATTTTCGACATTCCTAATGATTTTATATTCTCAATTCTATGTCGACCAAATCGATCTATTTGGATATTTTGTTACCGAAAGTAAAAAATTTACAATTTTTTTCTTTCTAACATCAAAAAAAGTTTTAGCGCCTGGTTTTGTATGACGAATGCGAACGAAAAACCACATGCCAACATTCAAAATATTCCAAAACTTATTCTCGATTTTCTTCCGCATTTACTTTCATTTTGTACAGAAACTGGTCCATAGTTTTTGATTTAACTTCGATTTTGTCTTCAAACAACTGAACTCGATTTTCGATTTTTTACTTCCCAACCTGAAACCGATTTTTGATTTTTTGTGCGCTTCCCTGAAGAAAGATAGGCTCAGGGTATGCATACTTTAACATAGGAATATGTTGTCGAAAAAAAATCGACAAAAAAGTCGACTTTCGGCTTTACTATCGATTCTCCATCCTAAGTCGACTAAAATCGATCGATTTCGATTAATTTGTTATGAAGCCGAAGAAAATATCAATAAAAGGAACTAACAATCGATAACCGATAACATAGCAACTGGTACATGAATACTTCGGGTATCGTACCAACTACTTCTTGACGAAGAAATCAAAAGCCGAAGGTAAAAAATCTACAATTTCTTATTCTTCTTAAGATCCAAAAAAAAAAAATCGATTTTACAGATTTGAATCGATTTTTAGGGCGACTTAAAAAATTTAAATCGATTTTTGGTTTTTTGACTTTGCTTTCCCAAGGACCATGGGATACATATAGATTTCCTAATTTGTTAAATTTTAGACCTTCTTAATCAACAAGAAAAGTCTATTTCTTAATAATTCTGTTTTATTTAATATTGCCTAAAATCAGCTTTCGACTTTTCCTATTCAAAGTCGATCGAAATCGATTTTCGATTTTTTTTCAGAAAAACTTTTTCTTACAGATGATAAGACTTACTATCGATTTTTCGAAATATTTTTTTTTAACATTTTTTGTTTTGCTTAGATAAAATCTAGAACCAAAATATTTTATCTAATCAAAAACTAAAGTCGAATTTGCATTTAAATCGATTTTCGAGTTTCGATTTTGTTTTCCAAGGGCCATGGGATACGTGCACGAAAGCAAGAGATGATTATTATAGCTTTATCCTCAACAAGAGAAAGCGATTTTCGTCTTTTACTCCCAAGTCACAAAGTCGACCAAAATCGATTTTCGATTTTTTGATCTGTCGAATTTTAAGATACAATTACCCCGACTCTGGAAAGGTTTTTTTTGACCCAAAAGTCCGCGTCCCAGACTAGGGTTAGGCCTACCGGACCTTCTGAACCGATATGGACAATATAGGTATCATTTGAAAGCTAATGCGTATCCAACAAGTGATCACATGATGGGGTTATTTAAAAGGGAGGATTCCGGAGTTGTATCAAAATTATCGATGTTATTTTCAGAATATTGAAATTATGTTTTCAGTAAAAACTTTACTTCACGTAGTAGGTCCGGGTCTTGGATCCGGACTTTCGGATCAAATATCCGCCCCCAAGAAAAAAATAATTTCCTGGAATCAGGGTACCTACCACTGGATGTAGTCATAAAAATCTGATAGTTTTTACTAGAGTTAGGCCTTAGGCGAATTCAATAACATTATATCGAAATGACCCACGGTAATTATTATCCCGAACAGTTAAATACATTCTGCAGCATATTCTTGTTAAATTACCGTAAATATTTACACACATTTAAATCCAAACACTATGTGCTTGCTACCATACTCACCTTAAATGTTGGGCGCCAGCCAACAGGCTTGGCTAAACTGGCATGGAATGTACTGAAGTTGATTAACATGTAGGCGGCCAAGAAGAAATTCGATATCAGAGGAGCTATGAGATTTAGTTCGCCAATTAAAATGAAACTGAAATCGGCAGAAGCAGCAACAATGACAGGCAGTCCAAAGCACACAAGGCCAACGAGGGTAGACAGCAGCAACAGGTGGCCCATTTGTTATGTTTCGCAAAATGAAAACATTCAAAAGAAAGAGGGGAAGAGAAAATTAATAACAATGGCATTACATTGGCATTTCAGAACTTAGGTTAAGTAATTTCGATGTTAACAAGGGCCACAGCCCACCCACAAGGAGCTAAACACACAAAAACAATTGAAGACTTACGCCACAGCAATAACAAATGTCAGGACATAACCACGGACAGGTTCATTATTTTTGCCAAAACCCTTGGCAAACCAAACAATCTTGGGATAAAGTTCATCTTTGCACAGAGCCTGAAATGGAAGCACAAAATCACAATTTTCCGTTAAATTTCGGCAAAAGCAAAGTTTTAATTAAATTCAATCTTCGGCTAAACAAACTTGCAAAGCTGCTTAAAGCAGCAGCAACGGACGGCAGCAGCCAAAGATTTGCAAAACAATGGCTGATTTTGCCATTTACTTACCTGAAAGACTTTGGGTGCCGATACCAAACTGGCCAAAGCCGATGACAGTGTCGCAGCAAAACAGCCGGCATAAATGAGTGGGCCAAAGCCGGAGACTAACTCAATGACTTGGAAGGAATTCGATAGACCATATTCGCAAGCGCCTGTAAGAATGATAAGTAGCAAGAAAAGAAGAGAATTCGTTATAAGCAGATTACAATTTACTAAAAAAAGGAAGAAAACCGTTTCAATGTCAAAGGTCTTAAACTGTTACTGTTTTGAGAACTTCGTAATTTGTGATATAGAAATGTAAGTGTGTGTATGTGTGTGTCAACAGTAAATATGCAGTAATCCTTGGGAGAAAAGGAATGTAAAAGAGTAAAAATACACTATAAGTCTGAATCAATAGTTCAGTAGCATTGTATTATTAGCTCTTTTTTTCTTAAATAGTGATCAATGGCGATTATATTTACATCGGAGAATGAAAACAAATAGAAGAATTAATGACGAAGGGAGGGGTGGGGGGTTATTTGTGAAGGTCATATAATTTAATACAAAAAAACTGAGAGCAAAAAACATTGGAGCTTTTATGAATCAAAAAAGTTAGTTGTAAATAAAATGCAGACCTGTAAAAAAGTTAGAAGAGGTCAAGAAAAAATTCCGATGGTAATATAAGTTGCTACAACAACTACTCAACAGTACCGGCCTCCGGGACCAACTACTCTCAAAATGGGTCCAATGAGTCAAGTTATTCTGCAGTAGCGGTTTCGTAGGCTACATACTATACAGTAGTAGCATTTGAGGCTTTTGAAGCAAGCCACCAATAGTAAAGGACTCTGAAGCCAACTACTCTACAAAAGCAGAATTTGAGGGAGCTACTCTAAAGCAGAGAACTTTGAGCTAACTACTCTACAGTAGTAGCATCTGAGGTCAGCTACCCTACACTAGCGTATTCTGAGCCAACTACTTCACTACGGTCTCTGAAGCCAGTTTCTCTGCCTCTGATACAAGCAACTCAAAAATAGCGGCATTTGAGGCCATCTTTTCAACAGTAGCAACCTCTGAGGCCTGCTGGTCAACAATAGCGACCTCTGAGATCAGGAACTCTTCGGTACTGTCCTCTGATGTCAGGTACTCCACTTCAGCGGCCTCAGGGGCCAACTACTCAACAATAGCGACCTCTGACACCAACTACAAAGTAGTATCGTTCTCTAAGGACAGTAGAGGCCTCTGAGGCCAGCTATTATTCAGTAGTGGCCTCTGAGGCCAGTTACCCTACAGTAGAGCCTCTGAGGCCAGCTACTCTACAGTAGAGCCCTCTAAGGCCAGCTAATCTACAGTTGCGGCTTCTGAGGCCAAATTCTCTAAACTAGGGGCATATGATACCAGCTACTCTACACTAGTGGCCTCTGAAGCCAGTTACTCTACAATAGTGACCTATGAGGCCACATACTCAACAGTAACGACATCTAAGGCCAGTCACTCTACAATAGTGGCATCTTGGAATCGTTAGAGGGCGGTCAAATACCACTATTGTAGAGTGTCTAAGAGGCAGAGAAACTCTACAGTAGCGGCCTCTGAGGTCAGTTACTCAACAGTATCAACCCCTGAGACCAGCACTCAACAGTAGTCGCACCTAAGGTAAGCTACTTTACAGTAGTAGCCTCTGAGGCCAGATCCTCTACAATAGCAGAATATCAAGCCAGCCACTCTACAATGACAGCATCTGAGGCCAACTAGTCTACAGTTGCGCCCTCTAACGACAGTTATTTAGCGGCCTCTGAGCTCAGCTACTCTACAGTTGAGGCCCCTGAGGCTAGATTCTCTGCCCTCTCTGAGGTCAGTTACTCAACAGTATCGACCTCTGAGGTCAGTTACTTAACAGTATCGACCTCTGAGGCCAGTTATTTAGCTGCCTCTGAGCTCAGCTACTCTACAGTTGAGGCCCCTGAGGCTAGATTCTCTGCCCTCTCTGAGGTCAGTTACTCAACAGTATCGACCTCTGAGGTCAGTTACTTAACAGTATCGACCTCTGAGGCCAGTTATTTAGCGGCCTCTGAGCTCAGCTACTCTACAGTTGAGGCCCCTGAGGCTAGATTCTCTGCCCTCTCTGAGGTCAGTTACTCAACAGTATCGACCTCTGAGGTCAGTTACTTAACAGTATCGACCTCTGAGGCCAGTTACTCAACAGTATCGACCTCTGAGATCATTTACTCAACACTATCGGCCTCTGAGGCCAGATTCTCTACAGTAGCCGCATATCAGGCCAGCCACTCTACAATAGCAGCATCTGAAGCCAACTAGTCTACAATTGCGCCCTCTAACGACAGTTATTCGACAGTAGCTCCATATAAAGCTAGCTACGGTACTGTAGCGGCCTCTGGGGTCTGCTACTCTACAGTGGAGGCCTCTGAAGCTATATTCTCTGCCCTCTGAGGCCAGCTACTATACAGCAGTAGTCTGTGAGGCCATCTAATCTACAGTAGTGGCTTCTGAGGTCAGCTATTCTACAGTGGCGGTCCCTCAGGTCAACTACACTACAGTAGTGACCTCTGAGAACTACTCTACAGCAGTGGCCTCTGAGAGCAGATATTCTACAATGGAAGCCTCTGGCCCAGCTGCAATACACTGGCGGCATCTAAGGTCAGCTACCCTACATAACCTAAAAAACAATTCAAAAATTTCTATAGAGGGCGTCAAGATCTTTGAATTCAGGACTGGTTTCACTCTATTTTATGAATAAAACTTGGTTGTGAAGGGTATTGAATGGGGGCCAATACCCAATCGGGGTAGAGAATATATGTTCAAGATCAGCGTAGAAATTAACCTATGACAAAATATGTGGCAGGTATTCTAATGACAGAAGAATTGCAATGGAGTGCTTCTGAGAGATCTTATATTAAAAAAAGCCTTCTTAAAAGCCTTCAATCTTAAAAAAAAACCTGGAAAAATACTACCTGCCTAATTATTGAATTTTATCTTTTAAGGTCTATCTATTGAAGTTTTACCAAGAGGTCTTCCAACTACGGAATAGCTTTTTTGGACTTATTGGTTCTATAGAATACATTTTTTGTATTTTTGAAAAGAAGAGATGAGTTTTTTTTAATAAAAGTCTTCAAGAGTCTCCTATATAATAAGACCTTATAGTGATCGAATATCCTTTATAGGATGGATAAGAGATTCCTTGGATTCCTTATGTGAATAAGAGAAATTTTACAAAGTCGTTTTATGGATAGATTATCTCTAAGGGTAAGTTTCTTTGGTAAACTACTTCTTAAGTGTTTCATAGGTCTTCTATGGATAGGAGATTCCTTAGTTTCCTTATGTGAAGAAGAGAACTCTTACAAAGTAATTTTATGGATAGATTATCTCTAAGGACGGGTTCTATGGTAGACTATTTCTTAAGAGTTCCATAGGTAGAGAGCCTCCAAGACCTGAAGACTTCGAGACCTCTTCTTTAAAATTAAATTATTTAAAAATTTGTCTGTGGATATGAGATCCCTAAGGACTTCCGCGGAAATAGCCCAAGAGGCTTTCCCTAAATGGGAAAAATTCCCTTCCAAATAGCTTCCCATATTCCTGGCTTGAGCCCTTTTTATTTGTTTTTCTTAACATTTTTTTAACATTACTTTTTTCTCTCTCATTTTTCGTAAATAAATACAAGATTTTTTTTCCCGAGAACTGTTAATTAAATTGGAATTAAGTGAAAAGTAATTCAATTGTTTTTATCCCCTTTTGTTTTAATTGAAAACAAAAAAAAAAAAAAAAAATAGAAAAGAAAATGACATGAAAAAGAAAACACAAATTGCGAAATGTCAATATGTCCTCAACCAGCCACCCACTCACTCACCTGGCACACAATCCAGAAAGGCAAATGAACCATTAACCATATCGGTGACATTGCCGGTGGCATCACGAGCAACCGAGCCGCCAGCCATTACCACCATTATCAAATAAGTGACGGTTGTTATTAAAATGGCCAAGAGGGTTCCCTTCGGGATGGATTTTTGGGGATCCTGGAAAAGAGACAGTGGATGGTAATAAATTCAACATGAATAATGAACGCAAATGATACCTTTAAATCACCGGAAATGTTTGCACCTGCGAGAATACCTGTGGCTGCTGGGAAAAATATGGCAAACACGGAAAAGAAGTCATGGACGACACCTTTCTCTGGGCGATAATCAGCGAAAAAGTTCTGCTTAAATAAAGTCACTGAAAATTATGAAAAGAGGAAAAAAACGGAACGTTTATGAAAATTTAATTAGGCGGTTAGGGGTCACTTTTTGTTAACTTTTTTTGCCTTTGGAATTTGGCACTTACTGTTATAGCCGAGAAAACCTTTGGCACGTTCTTCGTCACTTTTGGGTCCAATGAAACTGCCAATCATAAAATCGGCAATGGCCACCAGCAAAATAACCAGCAGACCAATTTGGGCCTAGAGGACAGTAAAGAAAAAGAGAAAATATTAAAAGTAATTTGTTTTAAGGATTCAACAAGAACATTACCTTTGCCTCCCATTCCATGCCGACCACAACAATTATCAGCAATATCAGAATTGTCACACTACCAATTATGCGCACATCCTGAATACCGCCATCAACAATGCTGGCGCCCATGGAACGCAGCAAATCCAACATGGACTCACAGAAACCCACCACATACATGGCACAGGCCACAGCATTCGCCAGCGAGAATATCAAACCAATCGAGCCACCAAATTCCGGACCCAGCGAACGTGATATCATGTAATATGTTCCACCTGCAAGCAAAGAATTTAAAGAGAGAGGACAACAAAACAACAGAATCTCATGAAACGCTGGCTTCTGTAGCAAAATGTTAAACCAGGATAATAATTTAGTCTGAAAAAAAGTCCTTAATGCTTTTCATGTATCCTCCAGCTATTGACATGTTAATTATCTTCTCATTTTTGCTGTCATTATCCGATGTTCATTTGAAGTGTATTATTTTCTGGATAATTGCACGCAGCTGGCCGGCAACCGGGTGATTACAAGTGTAGCCGCATTGTACAAATGTGCTTCTGTGAATTGGGATTAATTGAGGGGGAGAGAGGGGAAGAGACATAAAAAGGCAGAGAGAGAGAGGCCAATTGAGTCCTTAAACATTTTCTATGTTGGCAGATCAGGGATGTAAAGTATACATTACTGAAAGAGTACGATAATTGACTGTGAGTTTGACCATCAATTTCTCAGTGCGAACGGTATAAGAAGGGAAGAGGAATTGTGGCCTTATATGTAAAAAAACGTACCAAAATACTCAAAAAGGTACAATATTATTCTTGAATAAACCGGAGGGGATAGAATTTTGAAATTTTCCATGAGGGTTACCCCTGGTGCACCCATCTTCATCAAGAGTGACCCTAATGCGAAATTTCGAAATTCTATCCCATTCGAGGCGGAATTTTGCAAATCGTTCTTTAAGGGTACTAAAATGTACAAAATTGTACAGCATTGTAACTGAGGGATTAATAGGACTTAAAAATGGAAAAAAGTGCACGAGTATCATAGGTAACACCGGGTTGCTTTTTGAAAAAATATATATCGTTCTTTAAGGGTACGAACTGTACTAAAAGTTACAATATTGTACAGCATTGTACTTGGACAATTCATAAGACCTACAACTGTAAAATAGTACACGAGTGTCACTCTTGGATTAAATAATTCGCATTTTTAAAAATGTGCTCTTTATAAGTACGAAAAGGTACAATTTGGAACATTATTGTTTTTGATTGAACTATATTAGGACTACAGGGTGAGATGAAAAAAACTGCAACCAACTTCAGACGGCTATCATTTCTAAGCCACTCGTCCAACAGCTGTTAAAATTATTCCAGTGACAGCTCATTATACTGTTTACAAGCGTACAAAAGCATTTTGGTGAGAATTTTCCAGAAAAAAAGTTATTCGCGATGGAATTTAAGCGGGATAGTGAGATTTTTTATATTTGACTGGAAAACCACAAGTGGCTATCGTTAGAGCACTCCAGCATTGAAATTTGAATAAAACTTTTGTGTCCCGCACCATCGCTTGTTACCGATTACGTGATACTGGTGCGTAGCCCGACGTCAAGGAAGTGGACGGAAGAAAACTGCAACATCAGCAGAAATGGTCCGAAAAGTAAAGAAGCGACTTGATCGAAACCCGTGTCGCACTGACCGAAAAAAAATGGCTCATGAGCTGAACATATTGAAATACTCTATTCGGCAAATATTGAAAAATGAGTTCGTGCTAAAGCCATTGAAATTCCAAAAAGTGCAAGAACTTACACCGCAATAGAAAGAAAATAGAATCAAAAGAGCTAAAGAGTTGCTTAGCTTGACCGATAGTGGTAAACTGCCGAATTTCGATTTCCCCGTCTCGGATGAGAAAACATTCGTTGTCCAGCAGTTTGTAAACAAACAAAATGATCGTGTAGACTTGCCAAAGAGGTCAGCTGAAAATGTGCACCTTCGGTTGGCCACCAGAACTCAAGCGCCGGTCATGGTGATGGTTTGGGCCGCCATAACAGCCGATGGTCGCTCTCCTCTCGTATTAATCGACCGCGGCAGAATAAATGCCGAATATTATCGCGAAAATAATGGTCCGTTGGACCATTGTGTCTGGAGTATTTTGAAAAGCAAGGTTGGCACTAAAAAATACCCAAGTGTTGATCGCCGCAGCCAATCGATTCGCCAGGAATGGGTCAAAATACCGCAGAGCAACATTCGGGCAGCGTGAGACGGTTTCATTGGCCGTTTGAAGGCCATAATTCATGCCAAAGGTGGCCTATTCGAACAAATCTAAACTTATTGTAAAATTTGATGCTATTTCCGACATTTTCTGCTTTCATTCAATAAAATTTAAAAAAATGTAAAAATTATGGCGTTTGACTTTGTTGCAGTTTTGTTATCTCACCCTGTACGGGAGCTATATTCAAATCTAAACAGATCTTGATAAAATTTGGCAGGGGTATTTTTAGGCTGTATCTGATACCAAACACCATTCTTTTCGAATGCATATAACGAATGTGAGGGACTTAAACACAAAATCGGATGAAATATATGTATGGGAACTATAGCCATATCTGAACCGATTTTCTCCGAATTCGATGTACTTGTTTCTAGACTTCTAGTCGGATGTACCAAAATTCAGGAATTTTGGACCGAAATTGGTATTTATAGGCTGTATCTGATATCTGGTACCAAATATCATTGGTACTATTCTAGACTAAATTCGGTTGGATGTGCCAAAATTCAGGTCATTTGGCCATTTGGTGTACAATTAATCTGAAATCGGTTAAAGATATATGGGAGCTTTATCTAAATCTGATCCGATTATGACTAATATCAATAGGGTTCTTCCTTGGGACAAACAAATATTGTTTGGAACATTTTATCTCAATCGGAAAAGTAAATGCGACCTGTATTTTCTTCACAAGAATACGTGGACAGACGGACGGACTGACATGTATAAATCGACTCAGAATGTGATTCTATGCAGATCATCATAAGGTACTATGGGTCTATCTCGTTTCCTTTTGTCTGTTACAAACAAATGCACAAAGACATAATACCCTTAACACTATGTGGTGTAGGGTATAAAAACGGTGCTTCATTAAAATCCCTAAAATTTGGGAATGATTTTTCCGTTTCTTTAAATTATGAATATTTTCGTCAAATAGCTTTTTACGGACCTAGTGGAAAAAGTGACCAGGATCTTCAAAACACCTGTAATTGGAGACCACTTTTAGGTGAGTGAGGATGCATGCAATGAAAGATTTTTGAGAAGATGTTTTCTACCTATTAAGATTCCAAAATATCCAATTGCAGCCATTTCGACTGGAAGATGTGTCCTGGACATTTAAAATTCCTAAAATCGATAACTACCGCTATATAGGCTCCCATCAAAATCTTCAAAAAATTCGATATGAAAAAATGTCAGGGGTAAACTTTTATTAAAAAAATATCCAAATTGTCAAATTCCAGCCAATTTTCTTGAATTTGAGCTGGAAACTTCGTGACAATGAGTATCAAGAGTAGCTGCTATACGAGGTTTCACCAAAAATGGTCATACACTGCCAATACGCAGTAAAAATTTCAATGTAAACAAGTCTACAATGTATTACTGAGCATTTCTATGACTCACATTTTTTCTTCCAAGTTTCTTCTCGGGATCTGTGGACCAAAAGTACAACGAAATATTTTTCAAAATTATTAGAATTTTTCAAATATTATTTTTTCGGGAAATTTTGATTTTCCATCCCTGATGCCGATACAAGGAAGGTATGCCCAATTTTAGATGGACATTACTGTAGTAGGCATCCCCAAGTAGGCCATTGTCCAATACAATGCCAGTTAATCAAATATTTTGTAGCCTGCATCACACAGGACTATACAGAGATAAAAGTTGGGCATATGTATGTGTGTGTGTTAAGGAGACCAAAGCCAAAAACAATCAATGGCCTATTGCATTTCCGAGAAGTTAAACAAGAAATTTTCCTTTCAAAAGAAATAAATCGAATTACATTGTGGGTCATATCCTCAATAAAGGATGGAGGATAATATTTTCTAATTTATAATTTAATTTGCAACATTTGATTTATTTTTGCAAACCAAAATAAAAATCTTAAATTTCGATTTGAAAAAAATCTAAATTATCCTAATCAAAATCCTCAATTTTGTTTCAGTTCAACGGAGTCTCAGTCAGACCAACTATTTTGCCCCTTTTCCCAAATTTTATTTAACATTTTTTTTTTTTTTTTTTGAACTCACCTCCTTTGATGACACCATTGGTACTAATCGCTGACATCGACAGGGCAGTGATGCTCGTCACAACGGTTGTGGTTAAAATCAATATAAAGCCCTCCATGATGCCAGCTTGGCCCACCACCCAACTGAGACGCAGGAACAGCATAACACCCCAGATGTTTAACAGACAACGCACCAGGACACCTTTGATCCAGCCAAACTTTAGCATGCCATTGCCAGCGGCAGCACCGGCCTCCAGGTCATCATTGCGATTCAAGCTGTGGGTATTCTACAAAAATAAAATAAAAAACAAAAAAAATATGAAAAATAAATAACAAAGGTTAAAAAATAAACAAATATATTCCGGACAAAACAAAGAAACCAATGTTGGTTTAAATCAACTTTGTTTTTATCCCGGCCCATTACAGGCTTAACAAAAACATGAAGCAGGGGGATTTGTTTTTGTTACAGTAATCCAGAAGATGAGCCAAAAACAAGAAAAAAAACGGCAGCATATTTTTTCATGACTCTCTTTCATTCAATGCAAGAGTAACAGAGATTCATGAAAAGACAGATTAAAATGCGCTGAACAGATGTTTGTTATGGAAATGAATTGTGTCCTCATCTCGCAAACAAAGGATATTCGACAGGATGCTATTTTCAGGTTAAAATAACAGCAAAGGTTTTGTTATTGCCCTCCATTAAAGGCTTCACGAATTACAACGAAATGAAAATATTGTAGCATATTTTAAGGGGCGCGTAATGTGAATGCATTGTAATTTTTTTTGGGTCGGAAACATTTCGCGGGATTGGTGTAATGATTCCATTATTTTTGCCGCGTTTGGATTTCCTAGAAATGCGAAAAACCAACATACTCGCGAATTTTGCACACATGTACTCTAATGGTTTTTTTCAGGGCAATTAAGTCAAGGCCAAATAACGCACATACACACATTCCTCCATCTGATGATGGATTCGCGATATTAAGGGGAGATCTATAACCATTGTCAGAGGATTTTTGGTTTTGGAAATTGATTGGAATGTATATTCATTCATCCAGACAAAGGATGGCGGTGGGGGTGTTAAAAAATCCTTAACTGGGCACCTGGCCTCAGAGAGCGAATAGCCGAACATTCACCCATCTGATGAAGGATTCGCGATATTAAGGGGAGATCTATAACCATTGTCAGATGATTTTTGGTTTTGGAAATTGGTTTGAATGAATACACAGATCCAGACATAGAATGGAAGTGGGAGTCTTCAAACGGGCACCTGTGCTCAGAGGGTGCCACTATAGAGTAGCCGAACATTCACCCACCTGATGAAGGATTTGCGATATAAAAGGGATATCTATAACCATTGTCAGAGTCTTTGTAAAATTGGATTGGATGAATATAAACACCATCAATTCAGACAGAGGCTGTGCTTGAGGTCTTGAAAATCCTCAACTGGGTAGTAGGTCTCAGAGGCTTTTTGGTGTTGAAAATTGGATTGGATGAATATAAACACCATCAATTCAGACAGAGGCTGTGCTTGAGGTTTTGAAAATCCTCAACTAGGTAGCAGGTCTCAGACGGCGCCACTATAGAGTAGCTGGCCAGATAGCTACTGTAGACTATCCGGCCTGAGATGGTGAAAGTGGGTGGCACATAGGCCGCCACTGATGAATATCTGTTACTTCAAAGTAGCTGGCTCCAGTGGTAACTATTGTAGAGTAAGTGGCTCAAAAGCCGCGGTACTGTAGAGGTGCTCGACATAGAAGTCGCTACTGTGGAGTAGCTGGTCTCAGAGGCACCTACTGCGAAGATGATGATCTCTGAGGTAGCCGCAACGTCTACTGTAGAGTATCTGCCACAGAGGTCACTACTGTGCAGTAGCTAGCCTCAGAGATCGCTAGTGTAAAGTAAATTAACTCTGAGATCGTTACTTAAGACTAGTTGACCTGTAGAGGCCGCTTGGGTAGAGTAGGTGGCCTCAGAGCCGCCAGTGTAGAGAATATGGCCTGGGAGAGCTTCACTCTAGAAAAGCTGGCTTCAGATGCCGCCTTGTAAAGAAGGTAGCTCAGAGGTCACTACTATAGAGTAACTGGACTCAGAGGTCGCTTGTGTGGATTAGCTGGACTCAGAGGCACCTATAGCTAAGATGATGGCCTTAGAGGTCGCCACTGATTCTCAGGTGAGTGTATAGCCATAGAGGTCGCTACTGTGGGGTAACTGATCTCAGAAGTCGCTACTGTAGAGCTGCTAACCTCGGAGGTCGCTACTGTAGAGTAGCTGGCCTCAGGGAGTATATTAGCTGGCCTCAGAGGTCGCTAACTGTCGAATAGTTGGCCTTAGAGACCACTACTGTAGAGTAGCTGGCCTCAGGGACCACTAATGTACATATATTAGCTGGACTCAGATGTCGCTAACTGTAGAACTGCTGGCCAAAGGAGGCCACTACTGAATAGTCGACCATAATAGGCCACTAGTGCAGAGTAGCAGGCCTCAGAGGCACATATTGCTGAGATTATGGCCTCAGAGGTCGCCACTGATTCCCTGTTGAGTATATGGCCACAGAGGTGGCTACTGTAGAGTAGCTGGTCTTAGAGGCCACAACTGTAGACTAACTGGCCTCAGAGGCCTTGACTGCAGAGTAGCTGGCCTCCGAGGTCATTACTGTGTAGTATCTGGCGTCAGACGCCTTTACCGTAGAGTAACTGGCCTCAGAGGACGCTATAGACTGGTAGCTGGCCTTAGAGGTCGCTAATGTAGAGTAGCTGGCCAATAGAGATAGCTACAGCAGAGTTGGTGGCCTTAGAGGCAGCAGCGGCAGTTGGTGGCCTTTAGAAGTCTCTACTGTAGAGAAGGTGGCTCAAAAACACCACTATAGAGAAGGTAGCCTCAGATGCAACTACTACAGAGTAGCTGGCTTTAGAGGCTGCCGTGTAGAGTCAGTGACCTCAGAGGTCGCTTGTGTAGAATACCTAGCCTCAGAGATAGCTACGGTAGAGTAACTGGCCTTCGAGGCCTCTACTTTGAAGTAGCTGTCCCTTGAAGCCTCTACTTTGAAGTAGCTGGTCTTTGAGACCTCTACTGTAGAGTAGCTGGCCTTTGAGGCCTCTACTTTGAAGTAGCTGGCCTTGATACCACTACTGTAAAGTAGATAGCCTCAAAGGCCGCTACTGTAGAGTAGATGGCCCCTAAGTCTTTTACCGAAGGGCAGATGGGCCTGTAGGCCGCCATTGTAGAGTAGTTGGTCTCAGAGGCCTCTATTGTAGAAAAGCTGGCTTCAGAGGCCTCTACTTCATTTCAGCCGATCTGAGCCGAAAGTTCCCAAGCCGAGCGAAAACCAACCTAGGACCTGTAACAACCCCAATACTACTGAAACGGTAACTGCGAAGTCAAGATCCACAATCAAATTTGTGGTTGACCTTACAACAAGTGAACTCCAGAATGGATATATAGCACATTTGCCTGATTCTAAATCCATTCGTCTATTTTAACAGTGAACATTTCCCCCAATGTAAACAACTTCCTAATTCGAGGCTTCAATTTTTAAATGAAATTTTCAATTTTTCCTCTCAAAAAATCTTTCATTTTTGGTGTCATAATGGATTTGAATTTTCCATAGCCGAAATGCTCGCAATTGAATTTCTTGTTCTTATTTAAACCATATTAAAGCAAATATTTGACACATACGCACAGACACGCACATAGGTAAATATTACGACTTTGTCTTTCAATAATGCCATGCACGGCTAAATTTAGCTTTTGAGCTTTTAACAAAATATTTCTGGATTTATGACGCTTAAGCCAAGCTGTCTAATAAAACAAAAGAAAAGTACAGTCAAAATCACACACACAGACACACATACAGCGTTTTACCTGATGTCGAGCTAAATTGTATGTGCAAACACACACACATACCTTTACAATGTATGGTAAGTGAAATGAGATTTTCACTCAGGTATAAATGAAATTGTGGGCATATGAGGTATATCGCGTGAAATGGAAATAAAATATTTATTCTTATAACGGAAAAACAAAGGAAATAGAAAGACGTTGTTGGTCCTTGAAAGATGTTCTCAGCATAATCATATCATAATCATAAGTCTAATTTTCTGAACAATATCCATAAAAAATCCGCGTTTCTATTCCACAAGATCTTTGAACTTAATATTAATTAAAAATTGAATTTTTTTTCTGTTGTAGAAAATTTTCCTAGGAAAATTGATCGGACATCTCGGTTAGACATTGAAAAAATAGTTTTAAATTATCCACGGTGATGAATCCACCGCTCCTTAAAAAAATTATATAAACATGACTGATTTGTGCTTAAAAAATTATTAAAAATTGTACTTTTATGAAATTATTGGTCCTTGAAAATAAATTACCCCAAAAAATCGACATTTTAAAATCTTATGATCCCTTAAAAATGTTGCTTCAAAATATCAAGGTAAAAAAATTCTATGAAATATTTTCTAATTCTTCCCTGAATAAATCTTGGCAAAAATATAAGGAGATAACTTTGTTGGTCCTTGGCAAAAAAAGCTCTTTAAAAAATCCGCCATTGCTTTCTGAAAGCTATACATAAAAAATTAAAGTTTGGCTCTTCTACGCATATTCTAAATAAAAATCCAGTTGTAGTAATTTTTGCCCAAGCTTTGATCCTTTAAAAAAAAAACATGACAAAAATATTGTGTGTGGCCCTTGAAAATATTCTTAAAAATCTCAGTTTAGGCCTTTTAGACAAACCTGTAATTCGTTGAAAGCCTATGTACAAAGAATTGCGAGTATACCTTGCAAACATTTTTCTGAAAATTTCTCCTTTGGAAATTCCTGACAAATTTGATGATTCCATTTGTTTGTCCTTTAAAATGTAGGAAATAAAAAAATTCCATATTTTTTTCAACCGACTTGGTCACCGTGCTACTTGACGTCAGGAAGTGGACTGAAGAAAACAGCAACATCAGCAGAAATGGTTTGAGAAGTAAAGAAGCGACTTGATCGAAACCCGCGTCGCAGTGGCCGAAAAATGGCTCGATTCGTATTCCATTCGGCAAATTTTGAAAAATTAGCTCGGGGTAAAGCCCTTGAAATTCCAAAAAAGTGCAAGAACTTACACCGCAACAGAAAGAAAATAGACTCAAAAGAGCTAAAGAGTGGCTTCGCTTGGCCAAAAGTGGTGAACTACCGAATTTGATTTTCTGCGATGAGAAAACATTCCTTGTTCAGCAGTTTGTAAATAAACAAAATGATCGTTGTTACTTGCCAAAGAGGTCAGCTGAAAAATTGCACCTTCGGTTGG